GTTGGGTGGGAGGATCGGGGAGGTTGTTTGTTGGTTGTTTTCCCTTTTGATATTGGAAATTTTCTAAAAATGGTACGTTAAAGGGTGGCCTTGTGCTTATTAAAACCCAGAGCAAAGAGGGCGCCGCTTGGTGTAGGACTGACGTAGAACGGGGGTTGGGTAGCATACAAAGACTCACTGTTTCTCCAGAGCGAAAATAACTGAAAGGCTGGCCAGTGGAGCTTTCATTAAGAATGCTCTGAATAATCTTTGCTTGGAGGCTAGTTTTATCTGAACTAAGCCAGGTGTCCTAGCTGACACCCAGTGTGTAATATGTAACATGATTTAAGATTAGGGAACCTTTAAGATAAGTATTGGTAAGAATGTGGGCAAAAAGGAATCCTTTTCACCATTGGTGGGAATGTAAATTGGTGTAGCCACAATGGAAAATAGTATAGAGATTTCTAAAAAAATTAAAGCCACCATATGATCCAGCAATCCCACTTCTGGGTGTATATACCCTAAGAAAGAGAATAGCTATCTCAAAGAGATATCTGCACTCCCATACCTACTGCACCATTGTTCATAACCAAGATATTAAAAAGCTTGTTTCCATTGACAGATGAATTCATATAGAAAAGGTGACATATATACATACAATGGAATATTATTCAGCCTTTAGAAAGAAGGAAATCTTGTCATTTGTGAAAACATGGGTGAACCTATGGGATTATGCTAAGTGAAATAAGCCAAACACAGAAAGACAATACTGTATGATCACATAAATAGAATCTTAAAAAGTTCAACTCTTTGAAGCAGAGAAGAATGGTGGTTACCAGGGCTAAGTGGTGGGGGGAAATGGGGAGATGTTGGTCATAGTGTACAAAGTTTCAGATATGCAGGATACATCATTTCTGGAGATCTAATATGTAGCATAGTCGCTGTGGTTAATAATACTGTATTGTTTACTTGAAATCTGCTAGGAGAGTAAATCTTAGTGTGTTTTTTTTTTATACTAAAAAAAGTGATAGCTAGGTGAGTCAATAGCTATGTTAATTAGCTTGATCATGGTAAACATTTATATATATATATACACACACACACACACACATATATATGTGTGTGTGTATATATATATATATATATATATATATATATATATATAATGTTGTATGCAGTAGTTTTTATCAAATACACCTCAATGAAGTTGGAAAAAATAAAATAATTGCAAATAAATAAATGAAGGGGGATCACACTGTCTGAGAAGGGCGGGCTGTGGGCAGCTGTGGAGTCCCAAAGACTTGTGGAGATCGGGTGTGGAACCTTGGCCAGGTCTGTAAGTAGGAGAGGTCCAGCAGATCAATTCTCCTCTTTCTGTCAGCAGGGATTTTATGTCTCTAGTTAGACTACAGCTGCAGCAAAGCATTTATTCTAATCCTTTGAAAGGAGCACTCAGTTTATTTAGGATAAACTGAGAAGTTTTAATCTAACTTAAAAACATGACATTATTTATTTATTTACTTATTTATTTTTTCTTTTGTTGTTGTTGTTAATCCTTGTCTGAGGATATTTCCCCATTGATTTTTAGAGAGAGGAAGGGAATGGGGAGAGAGAAACATGGATGTGAGAGAGACACATCAATTGGTTGCCTCCTGCATGTGCCCGACCGGGGCAGGTTGGAGCTTGCAACTGAGGTATAGGTCCTTGACCAGAATCAAAGCTGGGTTATTTCAGTCCATGGGTTGATGCTCTGTACCCTGAGCCAAACTAGCTAGGGAAAAGCATGACATTATTTAATTATAAAATGTGTTGTATGTGCCACTTGTTAAAATGAAATTTCCATGTTTTATTGATTTTTTTTTTATAAAAAAAGTGAATATTTCACTTTTTAAGAATGTAAAGTGGTGCATTCTTCTGTATCATTGGTAGCTAATTCTTCTTTCTTTTCTTTTTTTAAAAGATATCAATAGCTTTATTTTTTCTCAATATGTAGTTAGAAAATAGGTCTGAGAAGAGGTTTCATGGAGTAGACCAAAGAATTACATACCAAGTCAAGAATTCCAAACAAGTAAGAGAAAGTGCCAGACGAAGCACCTTCCGGAGGACCAGGGCCTAGGGCCACCCCATCCAAGGGAGGGCCAACTTTTTAATGGCTTTTGAGTTCAGCTGAGGAGTTGTGTTGATCTCCAGGAGTCTGCTGCTTGCATACCTCCTTATTCTTTTAAAAAAATATATATTTTATTGATTTTTTACAGAGAGGAAGGAAGAGGAATAGAGAGTTAAAACATTGATGAGAGAGAATCATCGACCAGCTGCCTCCTGCATGCCCCTTACTGGGGATGTGCCCACAACCAATGTACATGCCCTTAACCAGAATCGAACCTGGGACCTTTCAGTTCGCAGACCGACGCCCTAGCCACTGAGCCAAACTGGTCCCAGCCTTCCTTATTCTTGATGGCGATGAACTTCGTCAGGTTTTGGTTTGCTCTCACTACGTGTTTGGCCATGTGCTGCATGACTCCGAACGCCTCGTTCTCAGTGTGTCCGGTGTAATACTGCTGCTTTACGTTCCGTTTTCCTTGGCCTAGAACCTTCTGGGACAGGCAGGAAGCAGCTGCTGCCACTCTGGACGGGTGATAATGTACCAGATCGTAGTCAATGAGAGTCAGTACCATCAACTATTTGGCTGAAGTGTGCTGCTCAACATCAACCTCCCCAGCTTTCGATGCCCGCCCTAAAAAATGTGGTGGTAAAGGCCGACCCAACTCACACTTTAGTTCTTTCAGAATGAGAGCTTCCATTTCTCGGATGTGGGAACTGGTATATGCGTTGTCTTTGATCTCAACGAAGTCTTCTATATTTGGAGAAAACATTTCCTCATACTATAATAGGAGGCCAAAAGCAAAGCTATACTCCCAACCACTTGAAGCTTCTTAGGAGAGACTGGCTGAAGCTGTAAAAATTAATCCATAATGGCGATGCACATGTGGAGAGTCTCTTAAACTTGCAATGGATCTGTACCAGCCAATCCACCAGGATGGCACGCATGCGTCTGTTTATATCTCTTCCATCTAAGGATTGTGGATTTATGGTTTGCAGAACCTCAAGCTGTCTTAGATACTGATAGATATCCTTAACGTAGTCGCTGCAGAGCTGAGGGTTCTCCCAGTCTTTATTACCGATGAGCAAAGCATCAGAGAAAGCTTGACAGAGGTTCTCTTCCTTCATGGAGCTATCCTCAGGTGCGGGATACGCCTCCTTTGGAGCCAGCGTTTCCATCTGAACTGGTTTCACAGAAGCAATATGTTTTGGCTGTTCGTTGACATTTGCTGTTTTGGTGGGTTGAACCCAGGTGCTTTGGTGTTCAGAGCTTTCTTAGCTACTTGTGTGGCTCCGGTTGTAACTCTACTTCCAATTTCTTCGGAAACTGCCCTCCGGGGTGTCACATGACTGTAGAAACAGTCTGGGACCTGCGCTTTCTCTGGGCAGTGTGATGTTTTTCCTGTGACCTGGATGTAATCAGATCCGTTCACAAACCAGTTAGCTGAGGGTTGACCCTATTTTATGAATGAATATGTGAGCTATGTCTTTGTGAAGGTTTGTCTTCTTCTGTCTTAGAGGCTATTTCCTTAGACTGAAGTCCCAGAAATGGGCATACCAGGTCCAAGGGTGATAAATGTTGTTTTCTAGAAGGGTCATAAGGATTTTAAACTTGCAGCAACAATGTATGAACCTGCCTCACTTTCTGTGGATCCCAAATCGCCGGGCCACTTCAGATCTGAGCTGTTGAAGAAGTTGTCAGAATGCCAGAACCTCCGAATAAAGTTCATCCTAACTGAAGGCAGCACTCAACCTCCTTTCCACTTCCTGTCACTTCTCCCTCTGCCAGGGCCTTCCCCCCTTCCTTTCACAGCCCTGTTTCCCTCTCAGTGTCTTCTAATCCCCTCATGCTGTCTCACTCTTCAGTTTTTTTTGGAAAAAATGATATAATGAAATTGGTCCCATTAAGAAGTTAGTGATCTAAGCAGCTAGAAGGGCTACCCCCAGGGAGGTCCTTGCATTTGAATAAAGGGCTTCTGGGGCAGTGTTGAACCCAAAGGACTGAACATGATGGTGGAATTTGGGGCACAGTAATACCCAGAGAGGCATTCCGGTTACACAAGCAGATGGTGTCCTAGACATCAGGCCAGTTCTGTGGGTGGGAGAAGCCAAGGCCCACCCCTGAGAAGCCTTCCTTTCCTCACTGCCAAAGCATCGAATGCTCAGAGCAGAAACACCTGTCTCTCGGAGGAACTCTGAAGGGGAGATTGCTTACTGATTGCATACAATAAAAGACTGGTCAGCAGCATATGTGGATTCTTTACATAAAACATAACTTTATGATACCAGGCAGGGATCTTTTTATGGCTCTCTTATCAACTGGTTGAAATTGCCAAAGGTGTGGAGGGCCTTTGCTTGCGTGTCTGTTGCCCATGTTTTGATTAAATTGTGTGTCCCTGGGCAGACAGAGCCAGCAGGCTGTCTGAGTGGGGCCGAGGCCCTGATTTCCCTGGTGTGAACTCCGAGTTGCGGAGATGGGTTTTTTGCTGGACTACTCCTGTTTCAGCAGGTCTCAAGGGACCTATGGCAAGGACTGGTGCAGGTGTCTATCTAGTTGTGGACTTATCCATGTTTGGTGGACTGAGAAACCAATGAAAGCGTTGAGGCATGTACCTGAGAGGAGGATGGGGGACTGCTGGATGCATTGCAGGAGGCCCTGGAATTTTTGGATGGAAAAGTCCTGGATGTCCTGACAGGAGGGGGAAGGGGAGAAATGGAAGCTCAGCCAGTTGTTAGTTTCAATCTTGTGCTGCCAGGAGACTTTGGGACCACAGCCAGCTGGGGAGGTGGTTTTGTGGGACGTGGTGGGCATCAGCTGGAGCTGGCCAGATGCCAGCCTCCCCTTCCTCCGGAAGGGAAATGCTTTGGTCGCACAGTGGTCCCTTCCTTACGCATAGCCTCTTCTGTTCCTTTCTGTCCAGATCCCGTGTGAAGATGACCCCGCTGGTGGCCTTGGTGTCTAGCCCCCACGCCCGGCTCTTTACCTGCTTCCTCAGACTGGGCGCTCAGCAGGCCAGCTCACTTCAGCTGCACACAGGGACCAGCCTTGCGGTCAAGAACTACCATGAGGTGCTGGTGCTGGGAGGGGGCAGCGGTGGGATCACCATGGCCTCCCGCATGAAGAAGAAAGTGGGCGCAGAGAATGTGGCTGTCATTGAGCCCAGCGAGGTAAGTCTCCCGCTCCTGGGTGCATGTGCGTGGGTGCGATAGGGGGCGGGGATGACGGTCAGGCATGGGATGTCATGTCCCGGGGTTAGTGCTTCTCTGGGCACAACAATCAGGCCGGCCAAAAAGATGGGAGAAGGTGGAGGGAGGAAGAGAGAGAGAACAGATCCCTTGGCTTTTTATGGCCTCTTCCGTATGAGTTTCTTGTGCTAACACATTACCACAGATTGAGAGTCTTAAAACAATAGATACTTATTCTCTCATAAGTATTAACTTGATTACATCTGCAAAGACCATATTTCCAAATAAGGTCACATTCCCAGGTACCTGGGTCAGGACTTTAGTATATCTCAACCCGTGAAAAGTCAATCAATGGTCATTGCTCCTTCCTGCCTGTGGTCCAGTTTGGAGAAAGGTGATGAGTGAAGGACCTGGGGGGGGGGGGGGGGGGGGGGCTCTGGGAAGGTGTCAGTGGGTTTCAGAAGCTTAAGTGCAAGGAACTTATTATAGGGCAGAAAAAGATGATAGGGTTAGAAACAGATTATAGGGCAGAAAAAGGTAGTAAACAGGAGGGAAGTTGGGAAACGTTTATATGTAAGGCATTATTTCACGTAAAAACATTTAAAAATTGTCCAAAAGCTACAGAGAAGTATTCAAGATTTCTGGTGGCTTGTCTAAGGTTTTCGAAGGAGCCACGCACGTACCAGTCGGGAACTGTATCCTTGGGGGCAGGGAGCGGATGGATCTGGTGCCTGTTTGGTGAGGAGGGGAAGGGCGGGTGAGAAATGCACATGGCTCCCCGCTGTCAGCCTGGGGTGCTGTGATGTGGGGGGAGCCTGGAAGGTGCTCTCCGTTACTCTCCTTTTTAAAGTGACTCATTCAGGACAACATAGTAACTGAGAGCGGTCTGAGAGCCGTGTCAGGTGGCCTATTGTAGCTGACCCATGGGCAGGGGCTGCTCTTTGTAATGAGTCAGAGGCGCCGGGCGCAGCTCAGGAGGCCAGGATCACGTCTGTGAGGACGTGCGGGACAGGAGTCTCTCGGAGGAGCTGCCAGGGGCGCAGGCGGTTGGCACTTCCCCTCCTGTATCTGGGTTAGTGATTGCTGGAGCTGATGGTTGTTTGCAGTCTATAAAACATCCGAGCGCGCTTGTTTTCATTCCTCTGTCTGTTCAGGATGGATTGGAACCGCTCAGCTCTTGCAGCTGGAGGCCTCTGCCCCTGTCCTCGGGATCGCAGCCATTGTTGGCTGTAGGGAGATTGCCAAGCCCTTCCTCAGTTCTCGTCACCTCTCTGTGGCTTTTGGCAAATCTGTCCAGCCAGTCTGAGGTGGTTGGGCAATGCTGAGGACGTGTTTGGGCAACTGTGGCATTATGCAGTGGCATTTGGTGTCCCTGCGTTTGGGCATACTAGTAAATCCTCTGAGAAAGGATTGCTAATAGGGTTGACAGGCAATGTCTGCACCTTCCACGGGCTTGGCAAATGCAGTTGGAAGTTAGTAATAGAGTTTGAGGATCCTCAGAGTGGCTGTAAACTTTAGACTTACCTCAGTCCCCACAAACATCTGAGGAACCATATTATGCTACTGGATTTAACTTTTCTTTATATCTGTGCACATAAATGTATCCATAATGTGTACATTATACATGTAAATGTAACATGCACATGTTAAGCCCCAAATCAACTGTCACCTGCCAGCAGCAATAAATAATACAATGGTCACTAATGATAGGTTATGGCTTTTTAAAAAATCCTCACCTGAATATGTTTTTATTATCGTTTTTTTAGAGAGACAGAAAGGGGGTGGCGAGAGAGAGAAAGAGAAAGAGATGTGAGAGAGAAACATCAATCAGTTGCCTCCCATACATGCCCCAACGGGGGTGAACCCACAACCTAGGTATGTACCATGACTGGGAATTGAACCCACAACCTTTTGGTGTACGGATGATGTTCCAACCAACTGAGCCACATCAGCCAGGGTAGTTTATGGCTTTTTAAAAAAATGATCTTGGCAGAATTCTTATAAGTGACTACTCTTCAGAATTTAACATAATGGGAGACGCCAGTGGGAGGGGTGGTGGGGAGGACGACCCAGAGACTTTCTCTGTGATACTCCAAGAGTCAGGAGGGAGAATTAGTTCAGGTACCTTTAGCTATGGCACTTTGGTCAGCCTCAACTCGAAATGAATCCCCAAAACGTTCTTTCTCAGAGACATTTCTACCAGCCAATCTGGACCCTGGTGGGTGCTGGTGCCAAACAGCTGTCCTCATCTGGCCGTCCCACAGAGAGTGTGATTCCATCCGGTGTGGAGTGGATCAAAGACAGAGTGGCTGAGCTGAACCCAGACAAGAACTGCATCCACACAGACAACGGCAAGGAGGTAACCACTGGGATCCTGTGGCTTTTGTTCACCTGAAGGCTTGTATGAAGTGAAATGCACAGCCCTTATCAGACTGGTCAGCTTCATGGTGAGACAGTGGTGTCTATAAGTGTGTGTGCATGTGTGTGTGTGTTAAATACTGCTTGAGAGGGTAGAGTGTGTGGTGAGTGGAGGATGGGACAGGTGGAAGGACGGAGGATGTTGAATTAGTAAACAACTAGGACAAGTATTTGCGGACACCCACTCTTGGCCCTATAGCTTGGCACATGTCTTGTATCCGAATGTGTACTGAACAATTACTGCTGCGTGTTAAAATAGCAGGCACCTTCCCTCCTTTTTCCTTTGAAGCAGCCAGCTTCTCTCCCTGACAGCTGGCCTCCCAGAGGAAGGGGATGTTGGAAAATATCATCCCAGTCACACTAGGGGGCGCTCCGCCACACTAGTAAGTGTCCCTGTGACTGAGCTTTGTGCTGGGGGCTCAGGAGAATTGCAGCTGCTGGAGCAGGAGGCTCATAATTGATCAGCATCATTTAGAAGTCTCCTTCTACCCCCTCCCCTCCACTCCCCACCCTCCAACACCACCCGGAGGCCGAAGCTTTTCAGAAAGTGCTGTCCCTGCATTTGACGGAAGGGCTGAGAGCAGGATGGTGAGACCACAGGCTCAGAAGCCATCTGCAATGTCATGTCGCCTCATCTGCTGCTGAGCCCAGGACTGCGGCAAGCAGTGCAGCCATCCTGCTGCGCCCTGCCTGCTCCAGGCCCCCGTGGTTCTTGGGCCCCCAGGGAGTTATTGGACTTAATATCTTCCTTATTCCTTGTCCTTCCTGTAGTGTGGGGAGGATGTCTTCTCTCTCTTGTGGGGAGAAACCCTTCACCTATTCGAAGACGGTTCTTATAGTCTCTGTCGGTATGGTATTCTCTGCAGGTGGGTTTGTCCCTTGTCCCCACTTTTCATCGTCTTCCCCAGTCTTCAGAAGGACCCTCTCCCCCCTGCTTTAGACATCATCCGGCTTGTCCCCGCCATGAAAAAGGCTCCCGGAAGAGGAAGCCACTCTGCAGAACAGCCCAGAATAGCGTGGCCCCTCTCCCTCCCACAGTCAGATGCGGCCTAATTTAGCATCTGTCTTTGTAGTGACAGTTGCCACAGGCTGATTCATGCTGGGCTTGGGGTCAGTTCAAACCTCTGGGTCTTTTTTTCCCCTTCTTCTTATGATCCACAAGTCAGGCTTCCCCCATCCTAAAGTAAGTAAGTAAGTAAATAAATAATATTTAACATATTATTTAATAAAATACACATTTATTTATTAATAAGTTAAAATGTTTATGTTATATCCTCCCTGTCGACGGACTTCCTCATTTCCCCTGCATCTCCAGGAGGGTGGACTGAATGAAACACAAGATTGTTCTCAGTTCTCAAGACTGCGCTCTGAGGCTCATTTCCCTTGCCATCTGCTGCTGGTTCCTGGGGCCAGGAGCGCTGTGTCTTATAACCCACATCACCCCTTCGGTTCGGCAGTGCCTGCCCCCTTGATCGGTCCCATTTACATTACCGGGAAAGCTCAGAGCCCTTTGTGGTTGGGCTTGTGCTCATTTAAGGATCATAAACTTGTCTCATCTCTTGAGAATGGAAGGCACCGGTCAGTGTTCTCACTTCTGAGCCCTGGGTAGCCCTCTCAAGTATAGACCTTAGGGAACTGGCAGTTTCTTGTTTTAGGGCTGGGGAAGAAGTTGGTGCAAGATGGTGGGACTTCCTCCAGTATTTTTAAGGCAAAAAGATGCTATATGCAGATTTTTAAGGAAATCTGCATATATTAATAGCATCGCATGGGAGATATAATCTTGTCAGTTGCATAACGTGGATGTTCAAGAAATGCTGCTGTTATTATTTTTAAGAGGATACATGAAAAAAAGCAAAAGGACATATTTATTGAGTACCCACTATGTGCCAGCATAGTTATTGTGGAAAGCAGGGTTGCAAAATGAATCCATGTCAATGCTCTTCTTTTTCCAAACTGCAGTAGATGAGCCTGGAATGTTGAACTGGATGAACACCCTGTTCGCCAAGTTGTTAGTTACCTTCCCACCCCCTGGAGAGAATTAGAGCACTAACCCATATTTAGCCTTCTGGAGAGGTCTGCACTGTTCTCGGCAATTGCTCAAAAGTCCTCGGCAATTGCTCAAAAGTCTTGTATACAAGTTTTTGCAGTTTCTTAAGGTCATCTGGCCTGGAGACTTGGACTTAAACAAACGCTTGAGGCTTTCTTTTTATTCTTTGCTACTTTAAAGTATATTCTCCCTTAATGATTTTTTTTTAATAATCTTCAGCTTATCTATTATTATTATTCATAAAAATGATTAATATTGTGCTCTAATAGGAACAGCAGGGTACACACAAACCAAAGGCTTTTCTTGTTGACAGTGGGTGTATGTTTTACCTGTAGATTAGGGGTGTCGAACTCAATCAGAGAAGGGGCCAAAATCTAAAATCCAGCCTAAATCGTGGGCCGAATGGTTTACTGAACAGTCAAACTGTCATTGTGATGGAAACGCAGCGGAGTGCAGTGATGACAGCACGGTGCGGGCCACATTGCAAGGCCTGGCGGGACAGATTTGGCCCGCGGGCCTTGTGTTTGACACATGTGCTGTAGATCATCTCCCCCAGATTTCATGCTACCTCTGACCTCATATACCCTGAAGATTCAACACAGTTCCCCCTGCCAGTTAATGGGTCCAGTACACTTCCCTACAGAGCAAGGAATTTCAGGGCACCTGCTGTCTATGGGACAGGCAGATCACAGGGATGATGATGTATATATTATTATCCACTTTGATAAGTTGTATGTTCACATGCAACTGGAATCAACCACCCATCCATTCCTTCATCCCACAAACATTACTGAGTTCCTCACTTTAACTTGGTGACTGTGCTAGATTCTAGGAATATAAGGGGTAAGGCACAACCTTTATCCTCTAGGAGTGTTTGATGTGGTGGGGGAGGATATTACTGTTGTATAACTCGACAGGTGCTATAACGCATCACGTGCCCGGGGTTGAGACTGAGTCATAGGAAGGCCTCACTGTGGACGTGACCACAGAGCTGATCTGGGTCACAGGGCAGGATCGCTGCTGTTACTTGCTCCTGCTCTCCCCAGTGTGAGTCCAGCCTTCTCGTCTTGGAATCCCCTCTCTTTAACTGTTTAGTACAGAAGAGAGACCGTCATCACCTGATGTCCTTTCTGGGCCCCTGGCTTTCATTGCAGTCTCATCTTCAGTTTCCTAGGCAAGTCCTTTTACTTTACATCCTTCCTGCTGACTTTTTTTTTTCTTTTCTTCAACTTGTCGTCCTCTCCATTCTCAACCCACATTTCTATCACAATAAGTAGGGAGACCTTTGCTCCCAGCATGAATAATCACAATACTCATATTTAAGGAGGGGACTTTTAAATCCCAAATAGATCATTAAATAATATGAGATACATTGTATCACATCCTTTTCAATGGCCTTGAAAAGAGCAGTTTCTCAGTTATGATATCAATCCATCCATATGACAGGCCAGACTTGCTCGGGATTCACACTTACCCTATAGATATTAAAAGAAAATGGAGCCCTGGCCGGCTTGACTCAGCTGATAGAGCATCAGCCTATGGACTGAGGGATCCCAGGTTCGATTCCGGTCAAGGGCACATGTTTGGGTTGTAGGCTTAATTCCCAGTGGGGGACATGCTGGAGGCAGCTGATCAACAATTCTCTCTCATCATTGATGTTTCTATCTCTTCTTCTCCCTTCCTCTCTGAAATCAGTAAAGAAATATACTTAAAAAAAGAAAAAAAAGAAAATGGGCTGAAACTGGTTTGGCTCAGTGGATAGAGCGTCGGCCTGCGGACTGAAAGGTCCCGGGTTCGATTCCGGTCAAGGGCATGTACCTTGGTTGCGGGCACATCCCCAGTGTGGGATGTGCAGGAGGCAGCTGGTCGATGTCTCTCTCTCATTGATGTTTCTACTCTCTATCTCTCTCCCTTCCTCTCTGTAAAAAATCAATAAAATATATAAAAAAGAAAAAAAGAAAATGGATTATTTTTAAGAATAGAAAGTCATTCTCTCCTTTCCCAACATGAAAAAGTCTTAACACAAGCCCTGCACAGGAAGTTGTGGCCTCTTTGCTGTCATCCTCCACTGTGTAAAAATATAGGAGTCTCAGCTCTCAGAAGCCAGGCAGGTTTTGCAATGTTTGTGAAGCAGTGAGGTGTGAGAATGATGGGTGTGATGGCAGACTGGAGCCTGTACTGCCCCCCCCCTCCCCCACAGCCCCAAATAATTCACATAAAAAAATGGAAAAATGAAAATGCTCTGATGACCCCACTTGCCTGGGGCCTGAGTCTGCCCTGGGACTGCCACTGTTTGGGTCCTGGTCTAAACGGCATTGCTTTCTGTTGCAGATCTCCTACAAATATCTCATTATTGCTCTCGGAATCCAGCTGGACTATGGGAAGGTACGTTTAAATGACTTGTGTGTTCCCTGGCCTACTTCTGCCAAGATCAAGCACTGCCTTGAGTGTCTTTATAATTCATTTGACAAGAAAAAGTACTAAGAAATCCTCTTCTAGTTTTATTTCTCAGCAGTCTTTTTATGGTTTTAAAAACATCTTATCTGAGATTCTGTCAATGATAGCATGATCCAGCTCTAAGCTTTAATCATGAGTCAACACGTCCTTGCCCCAATGGGCATTCATGCAAAAGAACAGCCTTTTCTGCATTTACAAGAAAACCACCTTTTGTGTGGGCCTGAGTTGGTGGTGTTGCAGGTTAAAGTTGCCTTTGAAAGTAAGCTTTTGAATTTCTAAGCGGACTTTCAGGTTAGAGTGCCAGCAGGTAGTGGAGGAGAGAGGCTTGGGTTTTGCCCTGTGACAGGAACTGGGTCTTTTTTTTTTTTTTTTTAATATATTTTATTGATTTTGTACAGAGAGGAAGGGAGAGAGACAGAGAGACAGAAACATCGATGAGAGAGAGTCATCGATCAGCTGCCTCTTGCACACCCCCTACCGGGGATATGCCCGCAGCCAAGGTACATGCCCTTGACCGGAATCGAACCCGGGTCCCTTCAGTCCCCAAGCCGACGCTCTATCCATTGAGCCAAACCGGTCTCGGCAGGAACTGGGTCTTTTTGGTCGAAGTGACCAATGCAATATAACTACTTACCCTGGAAGTTCCTTCGCTCTCCCTCTTCCTTGAGCTAGGGAGCTGGATGCTGTGTGACAATGGTGACATTCAAGCTCAGTTTTCTAAAACAGCATGGTGTAAGTCAGTAATTATGACGATTTCCAGAAGTTTGTAGGGGACGCTTGGTGAATAGTTGGAGCACATAAAGCAGAGTGACAACCAGGTCTCACTCAGCTCCAGGAACGTGACACAGGCAACTGAGTCGGCCCAGGAAAGCTCTTTGAATCGTGTTTCTGCGTAAAACCCCCCAAACCATGACATGTCCAGAGTGAGGCTGGTGATAGTGCCCTTGGGCGTGTCCTGAGACGGTTCGAAGAAGCCATGCGTTGGTGTGAAGGTTGTGATGAGTTTGGTCATGGGCTTGGCCATGAGTCTCACAGAATGACAAGCCGTAGAGTAGGTTGTGGAGGAGGTGCCAGTTACACCTTCTGGGAGGTCCTTGTCTCTCACGAGACCCCAGAAGTGGTGACCTGGCCCAGATGGCACATCTCCATGGTAACCTCCCCTCCCCTCCCCCGCCCCGAGAGCCCCTGTGCTGCCTGAGAGGACTGAAGAGACCAGTGCTGAGACTCCGCAGCAGCTTTTTGCAGCAAACCAAGAAATAATATTTATGCTGCTAATATTTCAGCTACTTAAACTGTAGCAGGAGCTGTGGTCAGTCATCAGAGGAGTAGTTGCTCTTGTCAGTGAATGAGATGGAGGAGATCACAGGACCCTGTTTCCTTGAGACCAGAGGGATTGGTGTCCACTGACCCTGGACGTGGCCTGTATTCTGGACAACAGCCTGGGAAGGTTCTGAAGGACCAGTCCACCTTGACTGTTTTTTTTTTTTTTTTTTTTTTTTTTTGAGAGTTTCCTTCTCTTGTTGAAAGAACTGGTGCTTCAGTCTCTTACCTCAGTCTGTGCCATTTTCATTGCATGCCGTGAACCCGCTAGCATTTAAGACAAGAATCCGGTTATCTCACTGGCAAGAATACACTACCATTCACAGAGCATCACCTTGTGAGGTTCATTTTTTCTCAGCACTTGACACACATGGTCTCATTTACTCCTGCCAAGAGCTCTATGGAGCTGTTACTTTATCCCCTTTTACAGGCAGTGAACGTAAGCTTTTCAAGCCTCAGTGCCCATCGAGTCACCCGTTAAAACCGTTTCTGGGTTTGCCCATGAGTTCTTGATTCAGTAGGTCTGGGGTGGGGCCTGAGAATGTGCATTTCAGGCAGGTTCTCAGGCAGTGCTGGTGCTGCTGGTCCGGAGACCACACTTTGCGTGGCTTAGAGATATTGGTTAATTTACCAAGGGTCACCCGTCTTCCCAGTAAGGTAGCTGGCTCACCAAACACAAGTCTGCCTGGATTCTTGTCTTTACCCCGATGGTGGGAAGAAATGTATTGGAATTATGGCCTCACGGCCAGGGAGGCAGAGGGGCTTCTCTGGCTGAGTCCAGTCTGCAGCCCGGCAGGGGACTGTGGGTGCTGCACCCAGCTGCCCGCTGCACTGTGTGTGAAGGCTGGGGGCTAATAATTGTACTGAAGTGCTTGTGAGGTTGTAGAAATGGTGAAGAAAGCCATTTGCACTTCTGTTAAACATTTATTTTTACAGTTTTCTTTCAATTTTATTTCATATTGGTTTCAGGCATACAGCTCAGTGGTTAAACAACCATATACTTTACATACCCACCTGGCACCATTCACAGTTATGAGAACATTATTGACCATATTCCCTATGCTGTGCTTTACATCCCCATGACAGTTTCGGAATACCAATTTGTTCTTAATCCCTTCACCTCTCTCACCCCGTCCCCCAGTCCCCGTCCCCTCTGGCAGCCACTAGTCAGCTCTCCGAATCCATGAGTCTGTTCCAACTTGGTTTGTTTGTTTAGTCTCAACATATAAGCGAAATCATGTGGTAAAAATGTTTTCTCTTTTGTTGTAGATTAAAGGCCTTCCTGAAGGTTTTTCCCATCCCAAAATAGGGTCTAACTACTCAGTGAGCACAGTGGAGAAGACGTGGAAGGCTCTGCAGGACTTCAAGGAGGGCAATGCCATCTTCACCTTCCCAAACACCCCCATAAAGTGCGCCGGGGCCCCGCAGAAGATCATGTACTTGTCGGAAGACTATTTCAGGAAGGTACGCTTCCTTTCCAGGGAAAGAGACAGGGTCGGGGAGTAGACGGTACTAATTGGTTGAGTGACAGAATTCCATTTTATCCATGTCAAAGTACTTTCTATTATTTCTAAACTTTTGTTATGTACAAAATTATATCATTGGAAGTTTATAAAATAGAAAAAGGCAATCATAATCCAATTATTTTAATACAGCTGGTATCATCAATCTGACATGACCTTCCATTTTTTCTTATGCATGTTTTTTAAACATGATTATTAAATAATCTTTGTAACATACTTTTAAAAAATATTTTTTTTTATTGATTTCAGAGAGGAAGGAAGAGGGAGAGAGATAGAAACATTAATGATGAGAATGAATAATTGATTGGCTGCTTCCTGCATATCCTGCACTGGGGATTAAGCCCAAAACCTGGGCATGTGACCTGACTGGGAGTAGAACCATGATCTCCTGGTTCAAATGTTAACGCTCAACCATTGAGCCATGCCAGCAGGGCAGTAACATATCTTTTAATGTGTATATAAAAGCCTATTGGGGCCGAAACCGGTCTGGCTCAGTGGATCGAGCGTTGGCCTGCGGACTGAAAGGTCCCAGGTTCGATTCAGGTCAAGGGCATGTACTTTGGTTGTGGGCACATCCCCAGTAGGGGGTGTGCAGGAGGCAGCTGATCGATGTTTCTCTCTCATTGATGTTTCTAACTCTCTATCCCTCTCTCTTCCTCTCTGTAAAAAATCAATAAAATATATATATATAAAAAAAAGTCTATTGGGGAGATACGTTAGAGATTGCTTAAATATTTCCATATAGTTAGACAATTAATTGCACATTGTTCATTTTTATTCATAATAATATCCTCAGCTCAAGTTTAAGGTTATGAATGTTTTCTGGCTCTTGATATACATTTTTGGAAGTATAATAGGAAAAAAAATGCCAGTTCTGAAGGGAAAAAATAATGTTCACGTAGAACTTCAAACCTTAGTGGAAAGATTTGTCCTTTAGAGACATGGCTCACACAGCCTCTGTGTCGGAGCAGGCGTCCGCAGCCCAAGAACGCGCGGTATGAAGCTGGGGGAGCTGCCCTGGCCCTCCTCCCTCTGCGGGGGTCACACTAAGTTTACTAAAGCGTGGTCCCACTTAAGACGGTGCAGGTTCAGAGCAGCCTGTGGTTCTGTAAAGGGACAGGTGAGGAGGGGAGGGAGGAGGGGTGGGATGTGCGCTGGGAACCCAGCCCTGGCAAGGCTTCACTGAGTCATGGAGACCAGCGCCAACCCCGCAGGTGGGAATTAAGTCATCATTTCTGTGTCCAAGAAAGACTTTTCTGGATTACGAGAATTCCGAGTTGGCAGTTTGAGGTTCTTTCTTACTCACCTGACTTCTTCTAAACAGTGAGATCCAGGTGAGCAAATCCTACAAGGTGCTGTTCCTTCCCTCCTGGAAATTCTCTCTGTTAACTCACCCCCCAACGCTTGGGTGGTCTGAGAGAAGTCTCTGAGATTGTAGGTGTTGGGGGGAATACTAGCCTCTCTGAAACATGAGCAGCACCGGAGTGTGGGAGCCAAGGGGACATGCCTTCGTCTCATTCACTGCCATCCCTCAGCGCTGAGCATAGACGGGCCGGCTCAGGACCTCACGACATCTTTACTGAGTGAATGAGCAGATGGGTATATGAGTACATAATCAGCTCTGTGTTTGCCTAGAAGAAATCTCACCTCTGGCCTTCGATTGAACAGTGCCCACCTCAACGCCTTGATTCAGGGGAGCACTTAGTTGCTGTGTTGCTGACAGAAAATAAGAGGGAGGCAGCGGATTGGTCCGCACCTCACCCCACCAGGGCAAAGGGATGGAGAAAGCTGGCGAGGTCTCTTCTGAAGGGTTTAATTCTTGTCTCAGTTGAAAAACAAAACAAAAGGTGGCTGGAGGGATGCTTTGGTGTTGATTGTTTCTATTCTTTCCTTTTTCTCAGACAGGGAAGCGATCCAAGGCCAATATCATTTTCAACACTTCTCTCGGATCGATTTTTGGGGTTAAGAAGTATGCAGATGCGCTGATGGAGATCATCCAGGAACGGAACCTCACTGTGAACTACAAGCAAAATCTCATTGAAGTCCGAGCCGATAGACAAGAGGCTGTGTTTGAGAACGTGGACAACCCTGGAGAGACCCAAGTGATCCCCGTGAGTGGCGAGGTTAAGCTGTCAGGTGAACGGTGTTGTGGATGCAGGCGGCATTGTGGCTCCTACTTCCCTGTCCATCACCACTGTGCCCTGGGTGAGCCTGGTTACAATGAGCATCTTAGGACAGAGATGGAGGAGGGTGGACCACCATGGGTGAGGAAGAGAAAGAGGTAGGAGGCTGTGGTCATGGGAGGGAGGAGAGTTTATTACTGGTACCAAGTAAATTTTTATCCTGTTTTATGTCTTTGCTTTTCTTGGCACTGAGCCACTTGAAGCAGTCAAATATTTCACAACCTCAGTAACAGCCTAGTGTTCTGGAAGGGCTTCCTTACATGCAGGATCTGGTGATTGATGGACTTTATAGAATGGGAGAAACAGCCCTGATTGTGGTCAGTTCAAGAACGACAGGGACGTCTCTCACCTCTCAAGAGGCTGTCTTTAAACATCTTTCACCTGCACACAAAAGGAAGCACTTAAAGCCCTTTGAAAGATCTGGTGGAGACACACCGTGCTTGGGAAGGTCTAGCCTTTGTACATGGCCTTGGTTTCCCTGAGTCTCAGTTTATTCTGTGAGTGGGAACAATAGCACTTTTGTAGCAGGAGGTGAGGAGTAAAAACACAATGAAAAGGCGGCTGGAGAGGCCTGCATGGAGGAATCATTTGTTTGTCATTCTGGCAAGAACTGTTAGCAGTGAGAAAATAGTGCACAGGCGTATTTTATTCATTCGGCATTTTTAGAGGTAAGAAAGGTTCCATGAAAATGAATTTTGAAGGAAATCAAAGATTAGTCTTCTAAGCATGGAAACTTTACATTATAAGCTTTTAAGTCAAGTTCTTTCTAAATAAATTTCATACCTCTTGTCTTTTGTACTTGAGTGTATTTAAAATCTTACTGATGACTCAAGATCTTAGTTTTTAAATATATATTTTTTAAATATCTCACCTTAGGAGAGCGTCGGTCTGAAAGGTCCCAGGTTCGATTCCAGTCTAGGGCATGTAAATTGGTTGCGGGCACATCCCCGGTAGGGGGTGTGCAAGAGGCAGCTGGTCGATGTTTCTCTCTCATCGACGTTTCTAGATAGCTATCTATCCCTCTCCCCTCCTCTCTGTAAAAAAATCAATAAAATATATTTTAAAAAAAATCTCACCTAGGGAAAGTTGCCATGATAAAAAATAGTAAATGTATAAGTAATATAAACTTGTGTATAGTCTTTACCTAGATGAACTTAATATAGAGTTTTATCCCATTTGTTTTATCATCTCATTTCTCTCCCTCTCCCAGAAGCATTGAAAGGTTAGCCCTTTGCCCCTAAATACTTCACTGTAAATTCCCTAAGTCATAGGGGTAGTCTCATACATAACCACAGTATTAACTCAGCATATTTAGCACGGATACAATATTTTAATCTACCATTGGTACTCCAGTTTGTTTTCAATAGCATTTATAGTACTTTCCCCCTCTAGGACAGAATCCAGTTTGCAGTCAGGTATTTCATTTAATTATGGTGTCTCTTTAGTCTTTTTGAATCTGGAATGTTTCCTGTGACACTGGCATTTTGGAATAATACATCCTTCCTCCCACACTTTAATTTTTTAAAATAGAATGGTCTTCATGTTTGGTTTGTGTTTTCTTGTGACTCATTTCAGGCTATGATTTTTATTTTACTTTATTATTATTATGATTTTATTTTATTTTTTTGTTACTCCTCACTTGTTACTTTTTTTGTTACTCCCCACTTTTTTGTTACTCCTCACTTTTGTTACTTCTCATTTTTTCTCATTGCTTTTCAGAGAGAGTGGGAGAAAAGAAGGGAGGGAAGGAATGGGGGAAGGGAGAGAGAGAGAGGGACATCGACTGATTGCTTCACATGTGCATCCCAACTGGGAGTGGGGAGCAAACTGCAACCCAGATACTTGCCTTTGACCAGGATTCAAACCCATGACACTTGGGTACTCAGATTTGTGCTCTAACCACTGAACACACTGGCCAGAGCCAGGCTATGAGTTTTAGACTGAAATGCTGCTTAAGTGATGTGTCCTTCTAGGGTGAAAGCACACTGTGTTCAACTGCCCCTCACTGATGATGTTCATTTAGACCAGTCAAGATATGAACCAATTTCTCTATTGTATTATTATTATTTTTCCTTTTGCTACTAATAAGTCTGTAGGGAGACATTTTAGGATAATGTGAACATCCCATTCCTCATTAAAGTTTCCCCCTAGATGTAGCATCCATTGGTGATATTTTGTCTAATCCAATCTCTACTGCAGTGGTTGCAAAATGATGATTTTCTCTAATTTTAGCATAGGCTCTTGGCATTCTGTCAGCAAAAACCCTCCCTTCACTAGAGGCCTGGGGCATGAAATTCATGCATGGGGGGCAAGGGGAAGGTTCTCCTCAACCCAGCCTGCACCCTCTCAAATTTGGGACCCCTTGGAGGATGTCCAAGTTTAGGCAGTTGGACATCCCTCTCACAATCTGGGACCGCTAGGTCCTAACTGCTTACCTGCCTGCCTGCCTGATCGCCCCCAACTCCTCCCCCCACCTCCCTCTGCTGGCCTGGTCGCCCCTTACTGTCCCCCTCTGCCAACCTGGTCACTTCTCACTGCCCCCCTGCTGGCCTGGTCGCTCCATGCAGCCAGTTGTTCAGTCATTACTGTGAGAAAGTCCCAACCAATTTGCATATTATCCTTTTATTAGTATAGATTATTAGTATGAACTCCTAAATTCCTACTTTCCTCCAAGTGGTTTATAACTCATCATTATCTTTAATTACTTTGGTGCACAAATTGCCCCAGATTTGAGGAGCCCTTTTAGATGGTTCCAGTGTCCTTGTGACATGCCCTCATCATATTTTTGAGCACTTTCTTACTTTATGGCGTCACGGGATTCCCAGGCTAAGTAGCATCTATTTGCTCCAGCTCAAGGTCAGTTATGAGTAGTTTATACAGTTACCCTCCTAGGTTGTTTTAGGGCTAGTTAACACCTTACAAAAGCTGGTCTATTTTTTTTTTTATTTATTATTTTGTCTACTATTTCTTTTGCGCAGGGTATTAATAGTTCAAGTAAATAGTTATGCCTTTACAATGATTATGTAAAAATATTGAACTTCTGGAAAGTTATCTGGAATTCATAAGATTTAAGCCAGCTTAAAAAAGTGGTTGTAGTTAACTGAAGCACTGCAATGCAGACATGGCCTCAATGACTTGGTGGATGATGGCTGTTGACCATTCCTCCATTATCCCGAAGACGTGTTCAGGCTCCATGTTCATTAGCAGACCCAGCCTGGGGGCCCACGTCCCTCAAAAGCCACCCAAGATCACCCTGCAGGGCAGCACTGTGCGTTTTGCAGCACCCCTTCTTCCTTGGGGCTAACTCAGCTTATAATTGTCGGAAATTGGGAATAAATGCAGGGCTTCTAGTGTCATCCATGACTGACAAGTCCTGATGAACCTCCTTAGGGGAACCAGGGGCTGTTAACTCTCTCACAGGGATGGAATTGTCTTAAAATGCTAAAGTTTTCACCTTAATAAAATGTTTTGTGAACATTTGAATCAATTTAGAATTTCTAGATGGAATTTATTAAAACTCAGTTAAAAGAATAAAAAGGATGAACTACAAAAAGTAGAGGAATAGTACATAAACAAACAAAAAAGGGGCCAGTGCACCATTGCCAAGGGTAATCTTGACAGAGGTATTTGTGGGGGAGGAGAGGGGTGGGAATCTACCCTGCCTTCTACACTGTTCAGTAAACTCAGTACTGAGTCAGACCCCTCTTTACTCCACGTTGCCGGGCAATATTCTAACCAACTTTTATTTCATTTTAAATTGGTGTTTTGACTGCTTCCTTTATTTTGAGGGTTGACCCATATTTGGGAATGCCACTCACTTATCAGCTCCTAACACAGCCTTGACAAGTTTCAAGGACTCTGAGTACCTCTTTGCAGTCCCAGACTTTACAAGTCAGTAGATGACAGTCAGGGAGAGAGCAACTGAAATGTGCCAGCCCCTTTGTCTTAGTTTCAGTGACGGGAGGAATGTCCCTGGGTCCTTTCAGAACGGTAGTGAGCTTCCCCCCAGTATCTTGGACTCCTCCAGGCGTGCTGCCAGAGGAATCAGGTGGACTCTACGGGGAGACAATGTCAACCAAGAGCGTGGTTAGTTATTTTATCACCAGACTCCAAAGGAGCCTGTAAGATCCTGGAGAAGGTGTAGATTAGTATAAGCACTACTTGTATAATGCTCAGTGCAGCCAAAGCAGTGTATGGGTGAGGGAGGCGGGGGCAGAGCTTGTGGGGCTGTGGATATATGGAAAAAACACAGATGTGGGTGCTCTCCTATTTTTGTAGTATGAAATGCTTCATGTCACACCCCCAATGAGCGCACCTGACGTCCTGAAGAAGAGCCCTTTGGCTGATGCTGCTGGCTGGGTAGATGTGGATAAAGAAACCCTGCAGCACAAGAAGTACCCAAATGTGTTTGGGATCGGGGACTGCACCAACCTTCCTACTTCGAAGACCGCCGCTGCCGTAGGTAAGATAACGCGCGGAGTTTCTTCCCCCTTCGAATGGTCACCCCAAGGCACCATGGTAACTCAAGCAATAACTTGACACAGATAGCATTCCACTAATAACGAGGAAACCTCTCTGGGTTGAAAAATGACTTTGAGTTCCCTGACACAGAACCATGTTGATGAGATCATTGTGTAAAGAAGAAAGAATGTGCTGAGGGCTTCGTATCAGAGTCGCATGACCTCTTCTGCCTTTCCTAGGTCAGAGAGGTTGTTTTCAGGGGAGAGTGCGTTAGAGAGAGGTCCCCACTTCTCCAGCTTCCAGGAATTCTCTTACTCCTCCTAGTGCCACCCGCTCATCCCTGACCTCCTCAGCCTGTGACAGCAGGCAGGCTGGCTATTTTTCTTCTGCCTGAAACGCCATGAAGTTAGAGAAGTATTTGTTCCCCCAGAAAACACATGCAAGTCAATGGATGCTTGCAGACCAGAACATTGTCCTGCTAAGACAAACACAGTGGAGCGTGCCCTGATTGGTGCGCCATTAAGGTCTCCGCCTGGGAAACTAAATTCTTCACCTCGGTGTTCTGCACTAGCAGTGATGGGGAGAATTGCCTTGTACATTCTGTCCTCCATAGACAGGAACTGTCCTCTGTGGATGCTGTAAAGCACAGACCTCCCTGCTGACGGGAATGGCAGTGTTTTGTGTGAATTGTACACCTGCAGCTCATGTTGCATTACTTTTACTACTTCAACCTAAGAAAGACTTTCAGGGAAGCCCACTGAATATCTTTTCCACTTTTTGTTTTTGTTTTGTTAATTCTCACCCAAAAGTATTTTTCCATAGATTTTTAAAAATTTATTTTGTTTTAAGTATTACAAATAGTAGTACATATGTCTCAATTGACCTTCCCCCGGCCTCCCCTACCTTTAGAGGGAGTGGAAGAGAGAGGGAAAGACAGAGAGAAATATCAACGTGAGGGAAACACATCGACTGGTTGCCTCCTGCCTGTGCCTCAACGAGGGTCTGGGCCGGGGAGGAGCCTGCAACTGAGGTACGTGCCCTTGACTGGAATCAAACCCGAGATCCGTTGACCCGCAGGCTAAGCTCCACTGAGCCAAATAGGCTAGGGCTCTTTTCCACTATTAATAGTCATTTCCCCCCAACATTTTATTTAAAAAATATCAAACCTATGAAAAATTTGAAAGTTTAATAAATACCCATATATTCTTGAGCAAATGCCATATCAGTTAAACTGATCACTAATGTTATATGGCATTTGCTTTATCTATGTACATTTTTTTTTATGCTGAGTTATTAAAAGTGACTTTTGACTTCGTAATACTTCACCCTCAAATAACTCAACTTGCATCTCTTAAGAAAAAGGACTTTCTCCTCTATCTTCCCAAGACCATCATCACATCCAAGAAATGGAACATTGTATTAGAAAATCATCTCATATACAATCCATTTTGAATTTCTCCAGTTTTCCTAATAATGTTCCTATGGCACAGTCCTTTCTTATATGCATGAACCAGTCAAGGTCTGTTGCAGAGATTAATAAAGGGAAGGGAAGCAAAGGGAATTGGATACTGAGCCTGTTTGCTACACCAGGAAGCTATAGCTTCACACACTCCAGGGGTCCAAAGCATTACCTGGACAAGGATAAACTCTCCTCACCCCCCTACAGAATTGGGGGTGTGTGTGCTGGGAGGTAAGCACATGTGCAGTAGAAGTCAAAATGGTGCAGGGGGAATTGCCTGACCTTTGAGGCTTGGGAAAGGGAGTTGGATCCATCAAAAGCTTGCAAAAGCTTGGGAAGTTGATTGGTTATTTAGAAAAACTCCTGGTCTTTCAAGCCCGGGGGAACAAAGATATTTCTCCTCTCTTCCCCTCCCCTCCCTTCCCCTCCCCTCCCCTCCCCTCCTCTCTCCCCTCCCCCTCTCTCTTCTCTCCTCTCCTCTTCTCTCCCCACTCTCTCTCTCCCTCTCTCTCCTTCTGTTCCCTGTGTGCTTGTACAACTATGCAGGTCTAGTAGCTAACTGGGGCCCCAGGCAAACCTCTTGCTTCCAAGGACTAAGCTTTAATATGAAATGAAAACTCAGGACACTGGCCTTTGTTTGGGCCTTGATAAAGACAAGGTTGGGCTGAGACCGGTTTGGCTCAAAGGGTCCCAGGTTCGATTCCTGTCAAGGGCATGTACCTTGGTTGTGGGCACATCCCCAGTAGGGGGTGTGCAGGAGGCTGCTGATCAATGACTCTCTCTCATCGATGTTTCTGACTCTCTATCTCTCTCCCTTCTTCTCTGTACAAAATCAATAAAATATATTAAAAAAAAAAAAAAAGACAAGGTTGGACTTTTTTTTTTTTATGGCCAGATGGTTGGAGATAGGACACTGGGAACTCAGGGGCAGTCCGGGGGCAGCCTTCCTGAGTAGATCTTGTCACACCACGATCTCCCATGCCTGGGTCCTTGGAATGCTTTTCTCTGGATCCTGTGGAAGGACCGCACACTACATAGGTTGTCATGTCTCTGGTTTCCTTTAATCTAGAACACACCCTCTAACATTTTTTAAAAACTTTTATGACATTGGCATTTTTTAAGAGTCCAGGATGGTTAATCTGTAGAATATGCCATAATTTAGAATTGCCTAGTTTTTCTTGTATTGGGATTCAAGTTAAAGTTTCACAGGACTCTCCTCCACACAGGAGTGTGTGCCTCCCACTGTGTTACCTCAGGAGTCCATTATGTTCATTGTCTCGTCCTGGGTTCTTGGTCTTTGGGAATTATAAGTAGACTTCAGGGCCATACTTTGAATTTACATTTCTCTTAACGGCAGGCTGCTGAATTCATGTATTAAATACCTGTGCTGCATGTGAGACCCAGATAATCCAACTTTTGACTTTCTTCAAAAAAATATATGTCTGATTTCATGTTCCAAATAGATACTATTAAATACAACTAAATGAAAATTCTAAAAGTAGTCTTGCTTCCAGCCCTATCCCATCTTCTGAGCCTCTACATTCCCCCTGACCATGTAGAGAGCATCCCCTTATTTATTTATTTATTTATTTATTTATTTATTTATTTATATTGTTAAAAGTATTACAGATGTCCCTGTTTGTGTGGAGGGCATCCTGTTAGTTTTTACATGTTTTTTTTTACAATCTGTATTCTATTGTATGGTTGCTCGAAGATTTATTTAACAAGTTAATATAGATATATAGATATGTGTAAATATGTGTATATAATAGTTTTTAGCTGTGTATTTATATATTTATATATTTATATATATAACTAGAGGCTTGATGCATTAAATTTGTGCAAGGGGCTCGGCCCTCGCAGCCCCGGCTTTATTCAGAAGGTAGTTTGGCTGTTTGGTCTAATTAGCATATTATGCTTTTATTATTATAGACTAGTGTTCCGGTGCACGAATTTGTGCACATTGAAAGGGAATTAATTTGAAGAAATATTTTAATATCATTATTTGCCAAGTTCTGGGTGCAGGTATCTGGCTCCCTCCTCCCTCCTGTCAATCTGTGATGATGCCTGAGGGGTTGCAGGACTCCCCCCAGTCCTGGAGCCTAGAGTCCCTCGGCCCTGCAGGGCCGGCTCCCCAGCGGACACAGGGCTGGTGAGGGCGATGAGAGTGGTGGCGTGGCTTTAAGAAAACTGCCCTGGGCCTGCCTGGATTACCTCTGGGTTCCCCCATGAAAAGGGCCAGAGGTGTAGGGGCTGAGTGTGGAGCCAGCAGTGACTGTGGCAGCCAGCAGAACATGCCTTGGTGGGAATGTTTCTATCAAATGAGCTGGGTATGGGCTGTTTTAGAATGTGGCTGCCTGGCTACCAGGGTTCCACGTTCTGTTGGGCTCCATCGTCAGGAAGTGAGGACACGGCTCTTGTCAGGAAATGAAATCACTGCTCTTGTGTGGGTAGAAGCTCAGGGTAGGGGTCCAGCTCACTGTTTTACGTAATTGATATACTTAGGCTATTAATCTAGGCTGGGACACAGGGACATCCAGATGACTAGGGGATACGGGGCACACAGATCAAGTGACACCCACTGAACCCTAGGAGGAGGCGGGTGGGGTTGTGGTGTTGTCTCCCTTATAGTCCTTTTGTTTGAAATTGCCAGTCCTCCTGTTAGAGACAGCTGGCTCCTCAGTGTCAAACTTGTGGAGGCAGTTAGGTGGGCCTTTGATGAACTGAAGAACCCCTTCTGATATCCAGAACTTCAAATATTAAGAATCATGTTCTAGTTAAAATTTAGAAGGATAGGCAATGGAGCCTTCTTAACTGGCTCACGTTAAAGTTAACTGCAAATGAGGGTTATGAGAAAACCTAGATGCTTATATTTTTCTGACTTTTCCATTTCTCTTACAGCTGCCCAGTCAGGAGTCCTTGACAGAACAATTTCTCTGGTCATGAAGAATGAAAAACCAACGAAGGAGGTTTGTAAGAGTCAGAGTCTCAATTATCATCTTCCATTCTGTGTGAAAACAATGGTTTCCTACAATGTTGGCACTTTCTTAATTAGTTTCTCTAATATAGCCATTGCAGTTGTTGCCTTTAGCACTACTTTTTGTTATATAATCTTCATTTTTCATGGTACAGAAAAAGAAAGAAAAAAAAGAGGAAAAAATTTGCAATTGATCAGAGTAAAGAATAAATTCTAAAGTATCTGATATATAACATCATGAAAAAAGCTACTTTCCAACTCAGTTTCATGTACAATTTTAGTATGATGGCTACACGTCATGTCCACTGGTGACAAGCTACAACCGTGTGATTCTTGCGGAGTTTAACTACAACATGCAGCCACTGGAGACCTTCCCCTTTGACCAGAGCAGAGAGAGAGTTTCCATGTACTTCATGAAGGCCGACATGATGCCCTTCCTGTACTGGAATATGATGCTAAGGTAAGCGCATCGCTGGGGGAGAGGCACGTCTTTTAGCCTATGGCACCCACTTGAGTAGGGAGAAGGTTTTAAGGAGGCCTTTCAGCTTCAGGAGAAATCATGACCTGGAGCCCAGGGCTGGCCATTGGGATCCGTGCTTCTCATGTCTGGTGATGGCAGCCTGCGGAGGATGCTGGATCCTCAGCCACACGTGGTGTGAGAGAGGCTGCCCTGGGTGAGGACAGGGAGTAGTATATCCACCACCCACAGGGGTCCCAGCCTCTTCTCTTCATTATTGGCAGCAACCAAGTCTTCTCTCTTTTTTCATGTTTTGGCTTTTTCTCACTGCTGAATTAATAATAACAATAAATCCTGGTAAATCATATTTTTTTTTTACATGTTAAGTAGTGTTTGCGTTGGTCACTTATTAAGACACACGCTGTGTGTCTTATGGCAAGTTGTTTAAACTCTCTATGTTTAACTTTTTTTAAAAAAATTCTTTATTGTTTAAAGTATTACATATGTCTCTCCCCCCCCCGCCGACATTGACCTCTCCCCAGCCGTTCCCACACCCTAGCACATGCCCTCATGCCTCTACTGTCCTGTGTCCATGGGGTATGCTTATGTGCATGCTTACAAGTCCCTTGGTTGATCTCTTATCCCCTCAATCCCTCCTGATGGCCTGTGTTTAACTTTTTTATCTGCAAATGAAAGTAACCTCAGAGGATGGGGATTAATGAGGTAACACATTAAAAGACAGCTACATAGTAGGCATAGTAGTGCATAAATAGAGTAAGAACATTTAATAATTCTTTTTCTTAGTTCCAAACTATGAAAATCTGATTTGACCTGTACAAACTACTCTGAGATAGGTAAGTCAAGGTATCTATGCTAGTGGTTTTCTTTTTATACTAGTGGTTTTCAACCAGAGTGATTTTGCCTCTCGGGGCATTTGGCAATATGTGACAGCTGGTTGTCACAGCTGGAGGGGTTGCTACTGGCTTCTCGTGATCAAAGGCCAGGGACGCTGCTAAATACCCTACAATGCACAGGACAGTCCCCACAAGGAAGAAATAGCTGGTTCATAGTGTCAGTAGGGCTAAGGTTGAGAAACCTGGCCCTATGCTTTATTTATAAGCAAATGAAAGTAGAGAGGATTGCAGTTTGCCTGTAGTAGAGATTGCATACAAGTTTGCTGAAGTCAATGTCGAAGCCAGAACTCAAAGCATGTCCCCTCCTAGTCACAGGATCTTTCTACCTCACAAGTCAAATCTTGCTTTATGTGCTAATAAGCATGTCTGTGACTTATCTGACTTTCCTTTCACCGTCCTGCTGACCGAGGTCATTCCCATCTTTTCTGATGCAAATATCTTTTCCATGTCATTTCTTCCAGGGGTTACTGGGGAGGACCAGCCTTTCTGCGGAAGTTGCTTCACCTGGGTATGAGTTAAGGATGGCTCAACCCCTGCTATCTCTGGGCGGCTTCTGGACCAAGATCACAGTCAGATTGGCCAAGAGCAGCATCAAGGACTCCAGACCTAACCCTGTAAAGAGTTTAGTGCTGGATGCTGGGTGACAGGGACTAAATGCTTCCCTTTCAAGTCCCTCTCACAAGCCACTGTCCAGTCTGCCCGGGATGAGCTTGGTTCCTTGGAAATATTAAAATAAAAGAATAGACTTCTATTTTTTAACTAAAATCTTGTCATTGAGATTCTAAGAAAAAAACTAGAGGCCCAGTGCACAAATTCGTGCATGGGTGGGGTCTGGCTCCACCCCCTATGGGGAAGATCAGGGATTGGGGGGAGGGCCACAGGAGGTTTGCCAGCAGGCCCTGCCCCCAATAGGGGTGGGGAGGCAATCGGGGATGGGGCTGGCTGGGGGGAGGGGCCGCAGTTGGCTGGCCAGCCCCACCCCTGATTGGGGGGCCATTGAAGGTGAGGCCATTCAGGGTGAGGGGCCTTGGGTGGTTGGCCGGCCAGCCCCACTCCCGATCAGGGCCCCCATCTGGCCAGTTGGCCACCGCAGTGCACTTCCTAGTGACCGAATGTTCTGGTCGTTCCACCATCCCAGTCACTTGGCTTTTATATGTATAGATTTTTTAAAAAAATCTGGATTAGTGGAATGAAAAGTCAGCGCTTGGGAGGAAACGATGGTGGTGGTAGAATAGCTTTTCTATCATGGACTCTGAGCATTCAGCAGATAGCTGGTGTAATTTCACCCCAGCCTGTTTCGATTCACAGAAAACCAGGGTCATTCCAGGGAGAAGGTTTAAACAGTGTGTGTGACTGCCCTGAGCACATGCTACAGGAGCACAGTGGAGTGGACCCAGCGCCCGGCCATCGCCCCTCTGTGGCCACCGCCCCGCTGTGGCACCACCGTGTTTGTGCTGAGGCCACACCCTCTCCCAGCTAGCCACAGATGCGGTGGGATACTAGTGTTGTAGGATACGGGACTTCTCTGCTGGGCAACTTTGGCTCTAGGGGATTTCCCATCAACCTGGCTGAAACGTTCTTAGAACTGTATCAGGTCTGCGATGCTCCTGGTCCCTTCACTTTTCCCAGGCGTCTCAGCTGAATCATGGTGTGAGCGCCCTCCCTGCCTTCTCTGTTAGCCTCTGCAGACATCCGTGCCCCCCCACCCCCCAAGTCTCTTGCAAATGTAATTCTGCCATGGCACCTGCCTCCCAGAGACCTCACACACAGTGAGGATGGGGTTAGAGGAAATGATGTGTGTGGTAAGCATTTACTTCATTCAGTCCCAATTTGGGCCTTGAAAATTTTGAATAAGTTCACATGAGAAATATGGCAGGAAATAGTTCCAGTTTAGTTCAGCAGTGGCTTAAAAAAACTGTTTCTAATGTGTTTATTTGTAGAAGTTTATCTGTTCATCTGGTATTTGAAAGCTTTGTACATTGCATATTTATAAACTCTGCCAAAGGGAAATGCGTAACAGTCTGTGCAATGCCTTAGATTTTTACAGCAATTTAGAGTTCAAACCCTTGTATATTTCCTAAGATTGCCAAGTCTCTGGTTTCCTGGGGCTCAGGTGACTTTGGAAACTGCTCAGGCATTCATTCATTCGTTCATTCATTCATTCATTCATTCAAATAATTACCGAGCACCTGCAACCTGCCAAGCACTATTCTTGGCCCAGGAGGTGCAGCGGTGAGCCAGACAGAGAAGGGCCCTGCCGACATTTTTGTGGTTCCTCTTCTTTTCCTGTGATGATGCCAAGGAGCTTGCTGAACGAGGCCCTGGTTCCATTGGGAAGTAGACTTTCTTCGGTGGCACATGTTTTGGAAAAGAACAGGCCACTACCCCAGCCTCAGACCCCCACCCGGCTCCAAGAGTGGAAGATGTTTTCTGGGGTCACCACACATCCTGGTTTGTCTGGGGTTTTCCTGTTTCACATGTATCCTGGCATAGCTATGAATAGCATGTCCTTTCACACTCCAGAATGACCCATTGGGACAATGGATTATATGATCACTCTAGTGATCACACTCACCTCTCCACCCCCACCCAGTCCGAGTGGGAGAGCCGCACTGCAAACCAGGGGCTTGCCGCCTTGTGTGCTTTCCTGTGGGGCTTATGACTACTCTGCCCTGTCCTCTGAATCCAGGCAAAGAAACCCCGTGTCTATCCAGAGCTTCTGGCGGGCTGCTCACTGGGAGAGCTGTGGCCATTTGTCTCCAGTGACCAGAGATCCCAGGATCCACCAGCCAGTGGCTCTTCCTGGCTATGGACAACAGTTCTGGGAGGCCGGCTTCTGCATTCCCGGGCATGGACTGTGATTCTGGGAGGGGCTGAGCTCTAGGCTGGGTCTCTTGGAAATCCCTTGCAGAGTGAACTGGAGACCCCTGGGTCTGTATGACCATGTGTCTGAATAACCCTCCAGCCATCTGGGAATTGCTTTTGGGTTCACATTCCATGGGGCAGAATTTATGGCCCACGCTGGAGGGAGCAGTGACCACTATTGGCCAGTACATTGGTCTCCAGCTTTCATTCCTCTGAGCTGGGGAAGATCAGAAAAATCTTGCCTTTCAAAATCTTATCCCCTTCGCCATGAACGTGGGACTGGCCACGGGAGAGGTCTTCCATGAGACTGCCTCCGGTCCTTAGGATCCTGCAGCAGGAAGAGGGTGTGAAGCCAGGGAAGGGACAGGGCGGTGGTTTCTCCAAAGGTGTGAGGCAGGATGGGTGTGGTTTCAGGGTGTGCCCTTTGAGGGCCCTGACTTAACCGCTGATGACTTCAGAGTCCAGAAATGATGCCAGCTCCGACTGCCAACTGAGAAAACCCTCTCCACTCCTGCTCTTTGTCTCTAGAGCAACTTTCCAGGAATTAAAATTCCTGCCCTAGCATCAGCCCGGGGTGAGCTGTGGGTGTAATAAAAATAGCTGGGTGGCAGCTTAGAGGCCCTGGGATGCAGGAAAGGAAGCAAGGCTTAAGTCAGCTGGGGGAACTCAGGGTTTCAAATTTAGAAGGTTTTTTTTTTTTGGTATTAAGAACATTTTTTAGTGTTTTTATTTCTTATGTCTAATATTTGTAAAAATTTAGAGATCAGAGATAAAAGGCATAAAGTTTACTCCAAATTCATCACCAGTTTATAACAAGTAATCCCATTTTGGTGTTTTTTGTTTTTTTTCTTTACTGACCTAATATTTTACATAAAGTTCCTGAAAATCAATAGGATTGCATTGTAAGTATTGTTTTGTGTTTTATATTTAACTAGTGGCCTGGTGCATAAATTCGTGCACATTGAAATAAAATTAATTAGAAGAAATATTTTAATATTGTTATTTACCCTTTCTCTATAATAGAAGTGTCATTCAAATTCATGATCAACAATGACAGATAGAAACACCCACATGTGATTGGCACCGGCAAAAGCTTTATATGTATTGTGCATGTTTGAGTCAACTTAGCCTTTTATATACTAGAATATGGAATAAACTTGCTTAATAGAACTGCTTTCTGACTTAGCTAAACTTTTTCCAGACCAGTGAAGCATCCCAGCTTCTCTTTCTGGTAATTGTCAGAAACACAGCAGTAAATATCAACATGAAGCAGATTATTGTAGATCACATCGGGAGGACAAAGGGTAAAATATTTAACTGCAGCAGTGTTTGACTATATTCTGCACAGTGAGAAACTCTGAAGTCTTTTTCAAGGTCCACTATTTCTTACTTCTTTTCAGTTGAGTCAAGTTCCTAAACTTTCTAAATCCTTGTTTTCCGGCTAATGAAAAGAAAATAGGATTCTACTGAGTCTCCTATCTACCCACCCCAGGACTTCTGTGAGGATCAAATGAGGTGAAGCACAGGAAAAACACTTCACAGACATTTGTTAAAAGTGTAAATGTTTCCACCTGGCTATAAAGCAAGTTGTGTGCCTGAGCTGAAGAAACTGCAAGGAGGCTAGTCGTTGGGGAGAGGAAGTGGGTGTTGAAGTGGCACCCAAAGTGACGTTTCTGGGCTGGGCTGTGGGCTGCATTTTGTGCCATGAGGTCAGCTGCTACTTGGTGAGCTGTTGCTCTGGGGTGGTTGCGGGGCCTGTGTCTCACTTGTGGGAAGCTGAGTTTTGCTTTGTTGGCGTCAGGTCTGCGGTGCCGTTTCTTTGTAAATGGCCAGTGCACGTCATGGCAGCTCCTGCATTGAATGTCTGCTCCCTGGTGGTCAGTGAACATCATAGCAAATGGTTGGATAGGCAGAGGAACACAGCATATTAGCCTTTCATATAGATAGATGTGCATTGAAGACCCAGTGGTTGGTTGTAGAGAGGAGGAGGAGGAGATTGGTGAGTAATACTCAAGGAGCATGGGTCATTGTGTTGGTACAGACAATCAATTAATGTAACAAATGTGTGTCCTGTGCTTAGGAGGGTATTGACATATAATTGGCACTAGATGGTTTTCTCAGAAAATTCTATAATAATCCCATGAATAGAATTCCCAAAGGAATGGAATATCATTCTTTTTGAGGAAGGGGGCCTTTGTAACCCAACATTAAGAGTAGCTCCTCCGTTTTATTGCTCTGGGTAACTCCAGCCTGATTTTAAAACGGAGCACCTGCCTCGTGCCCTAAGGCCACGGACAGAGCTTTCTTTCAGAGTGGGCTGGTTGTGATCACCTCAGCGAGGGAAGAAACAAGAGAAATGCTTTGGGTAAAATTGAAACTGGAGAACCAATGAGTCCCCAGCTGCCTGTCACTACTTGAGCCAATTCAGCAGAGACAGGGTTGAATCATATACGAGCCAGCAGGATGGGAGAGCAGCAGGTCAGCCACAAAAATCTGCTCTCCAATCCCCCATAAGCCAGCTGCTTATATTGGGTGGGACAAATATTACATGGGGAAGTAGGGATTACAGGCGTGGGGAAGTAGGCAATGCGGGCTGGGGTGGGGCTCTATTGTTTGGGCTGTAAGGTTGTAAATCTTTCCGTGAAAACGGGCAGTTCTTGGGTGAGAATGGGCCACATTCCAAGGTTGACTCACCAGGTCCCGGGCTATACAACTCCCAGCCAGGTTAGACTGTCCTTTCTTTAACCAGAACAAGGTAATCACAGTTAACAGAGCTTGATTAATATTTCCCACAACCATAGCTAGTCCCCAATATTCTATTTTTGCCCCTAACAGGATGAGGCTTTCTAAATGGATGAATGAAAACCAGGTCCTTCTGGTTAGGGTAACTGCCAAGAAGCTAAGGAGATTGTTTGTCTATGTGCTGGAAAAAGGCAAGGTTAATAATGCTTTGCAACAGACAGGTAGAAGGGTCACAAGAGAGAGCTGAGAAAGATGGATGGTGAAATCCTGGGCAGTTTTCTCCCCTAATATTGATTTTTAAAAAGTAAGCTCCCCAGAGTAGGGCACTTGGTGAACCACCGGAAGAAATCACAACTCCCCACATCTGCATGGGGTAAAGCTGCGTGACTGCATCCACAGGCACAGGGACATGGCTGTTGAAAGGCAGGCTCTCTGGTGCTGTAACAGCCCATGCAGGGTTTGGATTTTCCTGAGGGGCATCCCGGTGGGACACGGGATTGGAGGACACAGTCCTGAATTGGAGTCCTAGCTCTTCCACTGACTTCCAGCTCAAGCATTTAATCGCCACTCTCTCACCTGTAAATGAGTAATAACTCTACTTCATGGAGTTAACATTGAGCATTAAAAAAATGGAAGTGCAGCTTTTAAGTATTTGGGCACATAGACTGTAGTCCTTATTGTCATTAGCTGCAGTAGTCGAATGCAGCACTCAGAAATACAACTTCCCCTTACGCCTGTTTGGAAATTTGTTCTTGTTCTAACTGGAAGGCGTGTGGACTCTGTTACTGACATCACCACATCTTCCTGCCTCATTTCAACTGATTATCAGAGTTGGGAAATTCCCGCTGTTACAGGTTAACCAACGTGGGGCAGCCTGCCTGGGTCTGAATCCCAGATCTGCCTTGCACTGGCTATGGGACCTAAGGGAAGTCACCTAAACTCTGTGGACCCAGCTTGCTTATCTGTAAAATGGGGATTATAATAGCACTAGAGGCCTGATGCATGAAATTCATGCATGGGAGGGTGTCCCTCAGCCTGGCCTGTACCCTCTCCAATCCAGGACCCCTCAGGGGATGTTCAACTGCCGCCAGATGGGACCTAAAGGGGCAGTCAGACATCCCTCACAATCTGGGACTACTGGCTCCTAACCACTCACCTGCCTGCACGCCTGACTGCCCTTAACCACTTTGCCTGCCTGCTTGATCACCCCTAACCACCTCAGTCTTGGCCCCTGCCACCATGGCTTTGTCCAGAAGGATGTCCAAAAATGTCTGGTCTATCTGGCCTAATTAGCATATTACCCATTTATTAGTATAGATTTGCCTTACTGGGTTATAGTGAGGATTCTGATGTGCTCTCCAAAGAATAAGCACTGTTCTGGGTATAAGCGATTCTTAATTGCCCCAAGTCAATCAAAATTCTACTTCCAAGTCTCTGTCCCAGAGAAACAGACGGGCTCCTTCACTGGCGTGGTTCTGTAGGTGGACTGGGCTCATTTAGATTCAGAAATCCTTTGTCTTCAATCTCTCCTGTTCTCAGTCAACCCCTCTCTGCAGGATGTGTAGATATATATGACAGACATATATTATTGGATATGCTATTGGTTATAGGGGTTCAATGAATCCAAGAATTATCAATTATGCCACAGACAAGTTGGGGCATCTAATCTACCCAAGGCCCTGGGGGTTCAGAGAGGAAACCTTGTCCTCAGTGAGCTGTGCTTGGTTTTGTATGTGAAGTGCCAATGAAACAGGAATTTTAGGGGTAAAATAGGACAAGTTTAGGAAATTTTAGAAATTAAGGGTCCATGGAGGAAGCTTAGGGCTTCAGAGCAGCAGAAAGTATATTTCCATAGAACAGGGGAAGCTGAAAAGCTGCAACAGGTGCGTTTCCACAGAACGAGGGAGCTGGAAACAGCAAAGGTCTATATTTACAAAATAAAGGGAAGGAAGCCCTTCATCCAAGGGAACTGGCTTTCGGAATGTCCACAGACCAGTTCTGGGAAGTGTTGTGGTTATCACAGTGTTTCCCATCGGGGGGAACACAGGGCTTCCTCTTTTGTTCCGTGCTGTGTGAACTGTACCTGGGACAATTTGACCTGCACCGGCACACGTGTTCCAGAACAGCACACAGAACGTCCTCAGTAAATATTTGTTACCTAACCGACCTCACCAGCTACATTTTGGCCATGTGCCCACTCCCTAGCTAGGGAAGTGGAGTTTGCTACCACAAGGAGATTGGCAGAAAAATGTCGTGGGCACCCCCCAAACCATGGTGATTTCTGTGGTCCTGACACATGAGCAATACTTGGCCCCGAACAGAGGAGTGGGAGCTTCCCAGGTGCAGGGAACAGAACGTGTGAAGGGATGGAGGCGGGTGGATGAATATTGGGCCACGTGATGTCAGAGTGGGAAATGGGCTTAGGGAGGATCTTGTGCTGGGATCTCGAGTGTTGATACACAGACACACACACACACACACACACACACACACACACATGCTTTATTTTAGAGAGGGAAGGGAGAGGGAGAGAGAGAGATAGAAACATCAATGATAAGAGAGAATCACTGATGGGTTGCCTCCTGCACACCCCCTGCAGAGAGCAGGGTGCAGGGCGTGGAGGAACAAAAAGCAACATGAGAGCCCTAGCTGGTTCGGCTCAGTAGATAGAGTGTCAGCCTGGTTTCTGGCTGGGTTTGCTGGTAGAGGTGGGAGGGAGGGAAGAGAGTAAAGGTTGGGGAGTTAATGCCTCTGATGCCCTCCCTGCAGGCCGCCTTGGCCCTATGATGAGGTAAGAACAGAAATTGAGAATAAGACTTTAGAGATGTTGATAGCAATTTGACAGGGAGATGTTTTATCTGTCGAATCTAATACTAAAAAAAATTGGGGTTTGTATTTTATGTTTTGTCATTTCACTTTAAAAAAATATATATTTTATTGATTTTTCACAGAGAGGAAGGGAGAGAGATAGAGAGCTAGAAACGTCGATGAGAGAGAAACATCAACCAGCTGCCTCTTGCACACCACTTACCGGGGAAGTGCCCGCAACCAATGTACATGCCCTTGACCGAAATCGAACCTGGGACCTTTCAGTCCGCAGACCAACACTCTACCACTGAGCCAAACTGGCTTCGGCTCATTTTTTCCCCTAATAATTAATTTTAAATTCTATTTTATAAAAGTACTGGTTGAAAAAAGTTAAATTAAAAAAAAAATTCAAACACAATAAAATCCCCAAACCTGATCCTTCCGCACAAATGGGGGAGAAGCCCTGCTCTGGGCGGCTCTCTCCTTCCGGGTTCTAATGCCTGTTCCCTGCGCCCATTCTGACGGGCCTCAGGGTGGAAACAGCTCAGCGACGGACCCCTAGTGACCGCCCTGTGCCTGTGGTCCCCCGGCCGGCCACCTTTGTACATCATCCTGCCTCACACAATGCTAACTTGCCCATGTTATCTGCTTCCCCTTGGGATGGAGAGCCATCGAAGGAGCTTACACAGGAACGGCAGGAGACCGTAGCAGTGCAGGAGAGGAGTGGATTGAGAAGACTCCAGATGGGATGACCAAGGTCAACGCCCACTGGCTGCAGTGAGAGATGATGAGGGCTTAAATTAAGTCAGTGTCACTAAGGAAGGAGGGGAAGGGAAATGTTCATGAATAGTTAAGATATTGCATCATTCAGGATGATAGACACTATATAAACAGTTCAAGCAGAAAGGAATTAATTGTTGTGGAGGTCCACAAACTATGTATGATCTAGTAGCCCAATTCAGCCCACTGCCTGTATTTATAAATAAAGTTTTATTGGAACACAGCCACGCTCCTCTGTTTGTGTCATTTAGGGCTGCTTTGCACTACAACGGCAGTTGAGCTATGTGACAGACTGCATGTGGCCCTCAAAGCTGAAAATATTTACTGTCTTGCCCCATACCGAAAAAGTGTATCGCCTGGCCGGTGTGGCTCAGCAGTTGGGTGTGGGCCTATGAACTAGGAGGTCACTGTTCGATTCCCAGTCAGGGCACATGCCCAGCTTGTGGGCTCTGTCCCCAGTGAGGGGCATGCAGGAGGAGCTGATCAATGATTCTCTCTCATCATTGAATTTTCTACCTCTCTTTCCCTCTCCGTTCCTCTCTGAAATCAATAAAAAAAGTATATTAAAAAAAAGTATACTGACCCCTGAAATAATGAGAAGTAGGTACATACAGAACTCCAAAGTTTCTGCAGTTTTCAGGACATTGAAGGCTGCACAAAATGCAGGAATACTGGCCTCATTGATCTCTGCTTCTGCCACATCAGAGCACGTGATTGCCTGCAAGCCTCAGGTCTACAGACAGGTGCCCACTCTCGCCAGAAGGGAGAGGGCTTCTCTCAATCTTTCAATCTGGTGCAAGGAGCTCTCCCTGCCCCTCTCGCCCTTTCTCTCCACCTGCCGCCTGCAGACAAAATGCAACGGCTTGTCCTCTTGATACAGAGGTGAATGTAGAAGGGACAGGGATACACAAACCCAGGGCTTGGGGTTGACTAGTTAAGGGGTGAGGGTTATGGAGGCTGGGACAACTCCCAGGTGTCGGTGACTATGGTGGATGACAGAGCCATCCATGGAGACAAAGAGGAGCAGAAGAGAAGATTCTGGACAGGAAGAGAAGCGGTATCAGCAGGTTAGATTCCCAAATCCTGCCACCTGTGGAGTCACAGGCATCTGCCCGAATAAGGTTTTGCTCTAATTCCTTCATACCAGTGATATTCATGGAGTAAAACCATATATATATATATATATATATATATATATATATATATATATATATATATATATATGGAGTGAAAAATTACTGACCTTGCCTGGAGGGTAGAAAGTTACTACTCCCTCCCCATCCTGGACCTGAAGACCAAATCAACAGTCTGGGTTAGTCAAGGCTGAAGGCCAAATCAGCAGTCTGGGATAGTCAAGGCTAAGATAGCAGAACAAACCAAGGAGGGAGATTAGGCCATCTGGCTGATGCATGCAATCACAAGGTTAAGACCCCCCCACCCCCCCTTGTTTGGAATGTGCTTGTTTGAAGAATGCTTAAAAAGAGAGAGACCGCTTTGTAACCGCTGCTGCTTCTGGCTGCGCCATTGCCACGGCGGCAGCCCAGATTCGAATCTGCAATAAAATTTGTAATTAGACTCTGCAATTGGCTAGTTGGAGTTATTTCCCGGGTAGGGGTCTCTGCCTCTTGGGTGGTCTGGGCTCCATTTAACATTTTGGGGGCTCGTCCGGGATCAGAGACCCCCAGATGGGCAGACGCCCCATTCTCGTTGTCCGGACTACTTGAACGGCGCCGGTAAGTAGAGGCCTCATTTGTTCCTTGTGTTTCTTGTTCTTGGTTGCTCGCGAGCGCTTGGGATCTGAGAACGGCGGGACGCTGCCAGAAGTTCTCAGATCCGGCCGGAGTGGGGGACGCCCCACCTGCGGTCTTGGTTTCTTGATGTTGGAGTGGGTGGAAGTGTGAAAGAGATGCTGTGGTATGTCTGGGTTTTTTTGTGTGTGTGTTTCTAGGAATGTTACTTGTCGTCCTTGTTTTGGACTTATTTGTTGCCTAACTGTTTATAGATTGGGAAGAAAGAGAGAAATGGGGCAAGGAAACTCGAAGGAGAGTCACCTAAGTCCTCTTGAATGTATGATTAAAAATTTTTTCTGACTTCAGAAAAGGGTGAAGGCTATAGTGTTTCTGTAGATGCCTTCGCTCTCTGGAGACTCTGTAAGTTGGAGTGGCCGAGATTTGGGGTTGATTGGCCTTCAACAGGGACCCTAGAAATGGGGCCCTGCACGGGAGTCCGGCGGATAGTCTATGGAAGCCCCGGGCATCCGAACCAAATTCCCTACATTGATATTTGGATTGATGTTCTTTTTGATAACCCCAAATGGCTGAAGGAGTGTGGTTGTCTCCCTGACAAAGGAAAACTGGGAGAGAGGGAAAGAACGAAACAGAGACTTAAGAAAGAGACTCTGGGAGTCCGAGAGGGAAGAATTTAGACAGAAACAAAGATTGGAAGAGAAAGTGATATATATGTGAGAAAGGGAGGGAGAAAGACATGAGCAAGAGACAGGAAAGGACAGAGATTAGAGAGGGAGAGAGACAGAAGGTGAGGCCAGAAGAGACAGAGACAATCTGAAAGAAAGGGAGACTTAGATTCCAACAGTTTTTAACCTCGAGGAAGAAGACTGACAAGACCAGGGCTCCTTTCAACTAAGCTCCCAAGGGTAATCTTACAAGTGAGAGGCAAAGCTATTAATTTCCTGGCGAGCACTGGGCAGTTTATTCAGTCTTGACAGAGCCGATGGGACCTCTAGGAAGATATCAGTCCAGGGAGCCACCAGACAAACTGACTGTTTTTCTTGGACATCAAGAAGGACTGTGGACCTAGGAAGGAACATGTACTGGAGGAACGCAGCCACTGAACTGGACTGAAATAAAGCAATGGGCCTTTGAGGAGCTAAAGAAGGCTCTCGTCTCAGCACCTGCCCTAGCCTTGCCAGATGTCACCTCTACATGAGTGAGGTAAGGAGCATTGCCAAAGGCGTTCTCACTCAGACTTTAGGTCCCTGGAAGAGACCTGTTGCCTATCTGTCTAAGAGGCTGGACCCTGTGGCAACTAGTGTGCTTCTGGGCAGTGGCCACCACGGCATTGCTGGTGAAGGAGACAGATAAGCAGGCTCTGGGCCAGGAGCTTTCCCGGACGAGCCCCCAAAATGTTAAATGGAGCCCAGACCACCCAAGAGGCAGAGACCCCTACCCGGGAAATAACTCCAACTAGCCAATTGCAGAGTCTAATTACAAATTTTATTGCAGATTCGAATCTGGGCTGCCGCCGTGGCAATGGCGCGGCCAGAAGCAGCAGCGGTTACAAAGCGGTCTCTCTCTTTTTAAGCATTCTTCAAACAAGCACATTCCAAGCAAGGGGGGGGGGAGGTGGTGGTGGTCTTAACCTTGTGATTGCATGCATCAGCCAGATGGCCTAATCTCCCTCCTTGGTTTGTTCTGCTATCTTAGCCTTGACTATCCCAGACTGCTGATTTGGCCTTCAGCCTTGACTAACCCAGACTGTTGATTTGGTCTTCAGGTCCAGGAGCGGGAGGGAGTAGTAACTTTCTACCCTCCAGGCAAGGTCAGTAATTTTTCACTCCTCAATATATATATATATGGAAGGGAGTGGGAGAGAGAGAGAGAGAAACATCAGTGATGAGAGTCATCGAAACCCCCGACTGAGGATTGAGTCTGCAATCCGGGCATGTGCCCTGACCAGAATTGAACCATGACCTACTGGTTCATAGGTCAACGCTTAACCACTGCACCGCACTGGCTGGGCCAAAAAGTACTTTTGGTATAAAATTGGTGTTCTAAACCTGTGATTGAGAGATCTTTCCAAAGATGACAAATGTCCAGCTTTCAGGCTAAGGCCATTACACATCTTCCTTTTGGTAGGTTTAAAGGAGACCTTCCAGGAATTGGAAAACATCGGCAATCTCTTTGGCCCAAGGGCCCTGCTGGCATGTATAGTCCTGTGAACGGCTCACGGAGGCCTGAAGCAGAACAATGAAGTGAGGTGAGCAGACTGGAGAGAGAGGTGATGAGAGGTGGAGGTGGAGGGGAAAGAAAGGGGTGTACCTGGGATGGACCTCATTAAAAAGGTGAGAGGACACCCAATCTATGTAGGGGCAACAGGAACATGTGGGGAGAGGGCATTGGTCTTACTGCTGACCAGCCCGAGGCCTCTGCCCTGTCTTGTTTACTATCCCGGTGGTCAGCCAGGGCCCAGAGTGGATGCCCTACTGTTGACTGGGGGCCATGCTTTGAAATATAACAAGATTGTGGCAGAACATTCTTTCCGATAATACTTCTTCCTTAGCTGAGCTAATGGAGACCGTGAGAACCAAGGACCTCAATTGTGTGCCTTTATACTCCAGCAAAACTGATTGTATTAGCTTACTTTCTCCAGATATGTAATAGTCCAGCTTGTAAATCCATCCTTAGATCCTACTAATCCACTCTATCTAAGACTAATTAGTGGTTGTCTTCTAAATGAGGGGGGCCTTCTAATTAATGGTTTTTGTGTGCGAACACAATGCTGTAGGTGCTTAAACATCAATAACCATTTAAAACAAAGGCCAGGGCTTACTAGCTTCAATACGTGGGAAAGCGGGTTTAAATTAAGACGGTGTCATTAAGGAAGGAGGGTTGGGGGAAAACAACGTGGTCATTTGAATTATTGTGGTTAGGATGAAACTTTCCTAGTAGAGTCCAATCCACAAATCTAGAAAAGGGTTGTCACTTGTGACTAGGAACTATGTACTCATTGTCATAAGGCCTGAGTGATTTTCAAGGTCACCTGGCCCATGAAAGCAGAACTAAGATTTGGGACAATGGCTTAGAAAAATCATTGACAGCAGGATTACTTTGCAAGGGTTCTCGTAGTTCAGTACTATTGTATTTCTGCTAAGGAGCAGAAGAAAAAGAAAGGCATTAGTCTAAATTCTCTCATTTTTCATAGGCTTATGTTTCTAGAAGTCTGGGTAGGAGATCAGGTCTGGTCGGATCTAGGGGCTCAATTTCTTCCTCTCTTGTTCTTGCTCTTCGTTTCTGTGTGTTGGTTCTTTCCTGAGGTAAAGCAGTTCACACATTGACAAAGTGGCCCCAGGGAGGGTCAAGCTTACCTGCTCCTTGAAGCCTACAGTCCCTCTTTCCTGATGGTTAAAATGGTAAAAATCGGGGAAGAGATTTGATGGTCCAAGCCAGGTTTGAGACTTTTCTTGAACCAACCGTGTGCCCAACCTTGGGGGAGAGGGTTGGGTCAGCCTTGCATGAGCGAGCCACATGGACTGAAAAGGGGGTGGGGGTGGTGGTGGTTCTCCAATGTGAGAACAAACATTCAAAGATAAGCAGGAGGACACATCTTGCCTTCTCCATGATCAAGACCAATTCTCTTATTCATTCATCCTGCAAATATGCATGTCGCAGGCCGGCTGGGCTGCTGGGTTCCTGCCTTGGAGGAGTTCAGTGTCCAAAGGAGCCCGAGGGCCCAGGAACACTTGGACACTTGCAAGCATTCTCCTGACCCAGAAGGGAGACTGCAGCTCCTCCAGGGAGCCTGCCGACACCAGGGGTTCCTGCAGGCACCTGCCATCGAGGGCCCTTGCAGCTCCACAGGCCTCTCCGCGGGCTCTGATAGAACCAGTGATGTGGTGCCTGGGCAGGAGACCGCGTGCCTGGCTGGGCCCTGGAGCCCGGGCTGCGGGCGCCCCCTGCCGGAGCACCGGCGCTCATGCGTGCCGCGGACTCCCTTCAAGTCCTGCTGGGCTCCTCTTCTTCCTGGCCTCTTACAAACCGGGCCTAGAAGCCTTCGATGAGAAGTAACACCAACCTGTGTATGTCACCATCTGTGCTTCGTTAACCAACAGCCCTGGTAAGGGAGGCCAAACCCCGCGTCGCAGGAAGCCCCAGAGCGTCTCTCCAGCCCCTTCCCCACCAGCTCCCACGGGACAGGCACGGCTCCGTGTTCCCTAACTTCACCATTTCCAGTGGAGGTGAGTCGGCTCAGCATAATCATAACAAAAATAATATTAACTTGCTACAATTTTGAGTACTTTGAAGCACCCCCCACTGGGGATGTGCTGACAACCAAGGCACATGCCCTTGGCTGTAATCGAACCCGGGACCCTTCAGTTCACAGACTGATGCTCTATCCATTGAGCCAAACCAGTTTCTGCTGCACCTCATTTCTTATTTAATCTTCAGGATCACCGCATGGGAGGGCGTTTTATTGTTTCACAGGAGACAGGCTTAGAAGCAACTTGCCCGGATAGGGACAAGGTCAGGTCAGAGCCACAAGAGGGCGCTCGTTCCTTTTTTCTACATTGTCCTATGGACCTAGATTTTCCTGGGCGAAAACCCAGAGCACATGATGACAAATGTAAAACCCCACATAAACGCCCATGCATGCATGTGTGTTTGTTTATTGGGAATGTGGGCTGAAGGTAGGGCGAGCTCATTTCTGGAACTGGAAATTACGCCACATCTGGTCTGACAGGAGGCAGAAGTTTTGAATTTAGGAGTCTCATACAATCTGGGATGTTGGTCATCAATGCCATATGGGCCGGAACTGTAAAGCTGCCAGAGGCCTTCTGATTTGTGGCTGACGTGTATGCATGCAAGCCTGCACACTGACCTGGAGCTCCCTCTCAGGTTAGTCCCGGTTCTCCCTTCCCTGGTGACACTTAGCACTAACGGTTAGAGCGGCTGCTTTCCTCTGCCAAAGGCTCCCCTCTCCCTCTGTCTCCCTTCCCCTCTTCCAACTTCCCCTTGTTCACAACGGTTGCTCTGGCTGAGGGTTCTGCAGGTCCAAAATCTCCTTATTGTTTGCAGAGGAGAGCATCAGTATGGAACAGACCATTTCTGAGTGCCCCATTTCAATAGGCCATTTCCGGTTGTAAGTAGCCTCTGTAATTATCAATTGACTTAAAGTGATAGTTTTTAAACCTTCTTAAGGAAGTTTGTATTCACAGATCCCCCCCACCACACTTTGGGCTCTAGAGGGTCCCGTTTCTACTGTCCACACGGAAGCCTCACTGTGTACCTGTGCTGGGTGCCTATCTGTGGTTCCCAAACCTGCTAAAAAAAAAAAAAAAAAAAAAAAAAAAAAAAAAAAAAAGACTTGTGTCTGAGGATTCTGTCTAGATCGGTTTGGGCCCAAGCCTGGCAATCTGAGTTACATGCACAAGTGGCCCATCCCTATGGCACATACCTCTGATATTCCTCCCCCCCCCCCCCCAACCCCAGCTCATATCATGGCTTCATGGAGTGGGGGAATCCCTGTGACACCGGGAACAGAGCGTGGCTCTGCGGTCAGGGATGGAAAATGGACTCTGTCACACCAATGACCCACTTAGCAGTGGCCTTAGGGACTTCGGACAGGGCTGTGAGCAGTGCCCTCGTTTGCTCATTCTGTGTGGAGGGAGAGGTGGTCTGAGGTAGGTCAGTGGCGAACAATTTGGTGAGGAGCCTGGGAGGAACATGGTTGGAGGATTCAAGACCAGGAGCCTGGGGAAGAGACACAGGACTGAACCAGGTGGACAGGGGATGACTCGCCTGGTAGCTGTCTGCCATCCTTGGCCCCCGTGGGCGCACGGTTGGAGGAGCTACAGTCGCAAGGGCGGAGGCTCCGCGTGGGCTCCCTCTGACCAAAGCTGGTCCAGTTACTGTCACTGCTGACTACCCAGAGGGTTGATGGCAGAGACCAGAGCTGAGCCCTTGACATGGTACCGCTTCCCAAGGAGGCAGTCTGGACCTTGGCCGGCAGGTTGGTTCCATTAGGCCTTTTTCACCTAAAAGGAGACATCTGGAATGGATCCCTCCGGATATTCATGTGCCTTTCCTGTGCCTCTGCTGGTATCAGCCGAGCGCTCACGGAGTGCCTGCTTACTGACATGAGATCCCAGGAACAGCTTTTCAGACCAGAGACCTCCTTCTTAGAGAAGGAGCTAAGGCAGTGGGGGTGTGAGCACTGAGACCTCTGGGCCTACCACATGTGACATCACGTGGGAGCCGAGAGAAGGTTGGAATGGCTGATGGGGCCTTTTACCCCTCAACTGGAATCAGCTCTGGGTGCTGATGTTTCCACAGAGGAGGCCAGAGGCTAGATAAAGAGGAGCATGGGTCTGGGAGGGTGTGCTCAGAGGGGCACAGGCATCTAGGAGCCGGGCAATGGGAGAGCTCAAGGGCAGTGAAAGGGGTGACAAACAAGCAAAAAAAACCCAGAAACAGCTCTCTAGATGCCCTCTCCGGTGGGTCTGACCAGGGAAACCGAGAGAGGTTCAGGGATCTGTATTTTTAAAAAGCTTTTGAGGGAACATCCCGAACAGGCTCCTGCAAGGCCGCAGAAGCCGTGTCCTTCGTGAAGAGCCAGGTAGCAACCAAGCGCCTGTCTGACGCGTGCAAACCGTTGAAGAAGCGGAGCCGGACACCCGCAGCCGCGTCCTCGGCGCTCGCCTTTAGCAAGAGCTCGTCTCCCTCTGCCTCCTTAACCGAGAACGAGGTCTCGGACGGCATGGGCGATGAGCCCTGGGAGTCCCTGGACGAAAGTATAGATGAAACTCAGAAGTGTCCGTGTCCTCAAAGAAGTCGGAGCGAGGCCTGACGGCCAAGAAGGAGCACGTGTGACAGCTGTGCGAGAAGCTCGGCCGCCTCCTGCTCTGCGAGGGCGCCTGCTGCAGCGCCTTCCATCTCGCCTGCCTCGGGCTGCCCCGGCGGCCGGAAGGGGGCTTCGTCTGCAGCGTCTGCAGCATCTGCAGCGTCTGCAGCATCTGCAGCGAGTGTGTCTCAGGGATCCACTTGTGCTTTGTGTGCAAGGAGAGCACGGCGGAGGCCAGGTGCCGCAGTGTGGGAAGTTCTACCACGAGGCCTGTGTGCACAAGTTCCGCCGGACCGTGTTCGAGGGCCGCGGCTTCCTGCACAGCTGCGTGAGCTGCCGCGCCGCCCACCCCTCCAGCTCGCGCGCCACGAAAGGTAAGATGAGACGGTGCGTGCGCTGCCCCGTCGCCTATCACAGCGGGGACGCCTGCCTGGCGGCCGGCTGCCTGGTGCTCACGCCCCACAGCATCGTCTGCATGGCCCACTTCGCCACGCGGAAGGGGAAGCGGCACCACGCCCACATCAACGTGAGCTGGTGCTTCGTGTGCTCCAAAGGAGGGAGCCTGCTGTGCTGCGAGTCCTGCCCGGCGGCCTTCCACCCCGATTGCCTGAGCATCGACGTGCCCGACAGCAGCTGGTTCTGCAACCACTGACTGCCGGGCGGGGAAGCAGCTGCACCACCAGGACATCGTGTGGGTCAAACTCGGCAACTACAGATGGTGGCTGCTGAAGTCTGCCATCCCAAAAATGTTCCCCCAAAATATTCAGAAAATGAAGCACGAGATTGGAGAATTCCCTGTGTTTTTCTTTGGGTCTAAAGATTATTACTGGACGCATCAGGCTCGAGTGTTCCCGTCCATGGAGGGGGACTGGGGCAGCCGCTACCAGGGGGTCAGCGGGATCGGCAGAGTCTTCAAAAACGCACTGCAAGAAGCTAAAGCGCGTTTACGTGAAATCAAACTGCAGCGGGAAGCCAGGGAGATGCAGGTGAGCGAGCGGAAGCCCCCGCCCTACAAGCACATCAAGGTGAACAAGCCCTACGGGAAAGTGCAGATCTACACGGCCGACATCTCAGAGATCCCCAAGTGCAACTGCAAGCCCACGGACGAGAGCCCCTGTGGCCCGCACTCGCAGTGCCTGAACCGCATGCTCATGTTCGAGTGCCACCCGCAGGTGTGCCCCGCCGGCGAAGATCGCGCGCACTGACGGCAAGGGCTGGGGCCTGGTGGCCACGCGGGACATCCTCAAGGGGGAGTTTGTGAACGAGTACGTGGGCGAGCTGATCGACGAGGAGGAGTGCATGGCCCGGATCAAGCATGCGCAGGAGAACGACATCACCCACTTCTACATGCTCACCATCGACAAGGACCACATCATCGACGCCGGCCCCAAAGGCAACTACTCCAGGTTTATGAACCACAGCTGCCAGACCAACAGCGAGACCTTCAAGTGGACGGTGAACGGGGACACGTGTGTGGGCCTGTTTGCCGCGTGTGACATCCCCGCAGGGATGGAGCTGATGTTTAACTACAACCTTGACTATCTGGGCAACGAGAAGACCGTGTGCCGGTGTGGCGCCCTCAACTGCAGCTGGTTCCTCAGGGGCAGGCCGAAGACGTCCACGGCGCTGTGTCCGAGGACAAGGCCAAGAAGACGAGGAAGAAAGGCCGCAGGCGCCGCACCAAAGGCGAAGGGAGGAAGCCGTCGGAGGACGAGTGGTTCCGCTGTGGCTACGGCGGGCAGCTGGTGCTGTGCGACCGCAAGTCCTGCACCAAGGCCTACCACCTGTCCTGCCTGGGCCTGGGCAAGCGACCCTTTGGGAAGTGGGTGTGCCCGTGGCATCACTGTGACGTGTGCGGGAAGCCCTCGGCCTCCTTCTGCCACCTGTGCTCCAATTCCTTCTGCAAGGAGCACCACGACACGGCCGCCCTGCGCTTCACCGCCGACGGGCGCGCCTACTGCTGCGAGCAGGACTTGGAGACGGAGTCCGGGGCAGGTGCCAGAGCCCCTTCCGGGAGCCCAGGAGGCCCCAGGGCAGGAGGCGGCGGTGCTGGCGGAGGGTCACAGAGGGCACGTAGCACAGCCTGCCCCGGGGTGAGGGTGGGCCCAGCTGGGGGGCTGGGGCGGGGCACAGCCGGACCGGAGCACAAGCCTCTGGGGAGGGAGCGCCTCCCCACTGAGCCATCGCAGCCCCGCTGCATCTGCACTGACTGCCTGAGCCACGGGCTCCAGCCGGGACCAACGCCAGGGCACAGCATTACAGCTACTTGAATCGCTCAATGTCGCTTCCCCTCCCACTGGTTTTAGTTCACGTTGTGATCGACACGATTGGCATATAAGATGTTTTTATCCCCGAACCTTAGAGTAGTTTTTCTGGAGGGCCGGGGCTCAGGCCCCAGACACCTCACTGGCTCTGATGAACCAGCGTGTTTGTACTAATGTGAAATCTCCCTCCACGTGCCCTTCCTCACGCAGCACACGGCTGGCTCCGGGTCCCTGCTGTCTGCGGGCTGGACCTACCGGGCACCACCCTGTGGGCCTTCAGAGAGCAGGCCCCTCGGAGCCACTTCCTGGGAGCACTGGCGGGCGGGGCCCCGGGCCGCAGCTCGCTGGCGTCTGCTGCCCTGGGCTCTTACCAACACCTGGGGGAAACTTTGTACATTTTTTTCATTTGACGTTTCTTTACCAGTTTCTGGCTTTTATTCTCAATATATTTTTGCGAAACTTGTTTCACAATTTAAAAAAAAAAGCCTTTGAGGGAATCCTAGGTGCTCTCCCAAAATTGGGGCCCACACGGGAGTGGAAAGAGGATGGAACGTGGCGCGGAAAGAGGATGGAACGTGGCGCAGAAAGAGGCAGGTGTGAGTCCTGGCTCTCTGTTTGCCCATGAGGACCTCCCTTCTCCACAGAGCTCCTGGCTCACTGTGTACACTCTTTTCTCGTTTATAAAAATGGGATCATGCTAACACATGGGGTCCTAGTGTGTGACCCATTATTAAATGGGTCATATACATGAGACAAATAAAACAATGCCTGATAAGCACAATAATTTGGCGCTGTTAAACCACCAGCTATTTTTTTTTAAATGTAAATTATTGTTATTGTTAACAAAGGCGGGGGCACAGACAAGGCACTGATAAGGGCCAAAGATATATTGGAATTTTTTCTGTCTGTTGGCTCTTTAAGAACCAAGCAGAGGGGGCCAGGACGGACATTTCTTTCCCCAAATTTTTATTTGGAAATAATTTAAAACTTACAAAAAGTTGCAAATATAAAATAGTGCAAGTAGCACTTTATAACTTTTAAAAAAATATATTTTATTGTTTTTGTACAGAGAGGAAGAGAGAAAGATAGAGAGCAAGAAACATCGATGAGAGAATCATTGATCAGCTGCCTCTTGCACCACCCCCACTGGGGATATGCCCGCAACCAAGTCACATGCCCTTGACCGGAATCGAACCCGGGACCCTTCAGTCCGCAGGCCGATGTTCTATCCACTGAGCCAAACCGGTTTCGGCAGCACTTTATAACTTTTACTCAGATTTATTTATTGAAACATTTTAAAATCATTTTCTTTATCATTCATGTTCTTTATCTTTCTTCCTCTCTCTAAATATATATGGAATATTTGTGTGTACATATTTATGGACACATACATACTTTTATAAACATGTATTAATATAATATATTTATCCATACTATATATGAATGTATCTATTTTTTAGTGATTGAAGAGTAAGTTACATTTATCGTGGCCTTAAACTCTAAATACTACATTATACCAAATACTAAAGTATATGCTACAATAGGGATAATCTCCTGCATAGCCCAGTACAGTTATCAACCTCACAAGTTTACACCAATACAATATTTTATCTAATCTACTGGCTATAGTCCAATTGTATCAGTTGAGCCAATGATGTCCTTTATAGCATTTTCCCCTGAGTATCAGATCCAGTATAGGGTCAGGTTTTGCATTTGGTTGTCATGTTTCTTTAGATTTCTTTAACCTGGAACATTTCCACAGTCTGCCTTTGTCTTTTGTAACATGGACAATATTTTTTAACCTTTATTGAGATATAGTTGATATGTAACATTGTATAAGTTTAAGGTGAACATGTTGATTTGATACACTTGTATATTGTAATATGATTGCTACCATAGCATTAGCTAACACCTCCATCATGTCACATAACTAACAACTTGTGTGTGTGTGTGTGTGTGTGTGAGTGTGTGTGTGTGTGTAGTGAGAACATTTAGATCTACTCTCTTAGCGACTTAGTATACAAGTTAGTATCATTATCTACAACCAGAATGCTAGGCATTAGGCTCCCAGAACTTATTCATCTCCTAACAGGAAGGTTGCACTCTGTGGCCAACCTTTCCTCATTTCCCCAACCCCCAAGCCCTGGGAATCACCATTCTACTCTCTGTTTCTACAAATTCAGCTTCTTTAGAGTCTAACATGCGAGATCATCTAGTATCCAACTTCAATTTTCTTGAGTCTTTATTTGTGCCACATTTGGTCACTGTAGATACATTCTTGCAACTTCCACTCAGGAACTAAAGGCCACGAACAAGTGTGCTGTGTTAAGAAGGTTCCGCGAGAGAGCATGGGTGAACGTGCAGAGGCAGAAACCAGGGAGACGTGGAGCTATACTTCCAGGGTCACAGATCCTGTCCTCAGGAACACTGAGCTCCATGCTGAGGCCGAGAACACAATCAGCATTTTCCCTTGGATCTTGAACGATGTCTCTCGGGTCTATCGAATATTGGGTTTGTGGTGTGTGTGTGTGTGTGTGTGTGTGTGTGTATACACATGCACGCATATTTGTAAGTTATGAGTACAATCTTGCTTCTCTCCTGAAAAGGTAAAATGTCATTTTAATTATTTACTTAGCCCTACTCTGAGGTCTCTGAACTGCCATTTCTGCATAATAATAACTGTAATAATAATATAAAGCACAGCAACAATAATGATAATTGCCTGTCTCTCTGGAGTACTGTGAGGATAAAATGAGATAATGAACTCAAAAGTGCGTTGTAATCCAAAAAGGTCTGCACCGGCAGCGTATCGCTAAATATTATACCTGCTATCCTCCCTGCCCTCCTCGTGCGGGCCTCTCCCTGGTTCGTGAGAGTGGGAGTGTGCATGATGTGAGTCTTTATTTTGCACAGACACAGCCTTAACATTTCCTCCCTCTTTTTGGGGGGAGACAACTAGCTTTTTAAGAAGTTTGACCAGATGTCAGGAGGTTTTACATGTACCATCTAATGTTAATAAAAAATAAAACCCTTATTATTACATATTAGAGGTCCAGTGCTCATGAAATTGTGCACTGTTAGGCTGGGTCCCTAGGCCTAGCCTGCCTCTGCTTCCCTGCAACGCTACGTGAAGCTCCCTGCCTCGGGATGCTCCACGAGGCTCCTCCCCTCCCATACTGCACAAAATTCCCACCCCCCCACCATACTCCACAAAATTCCCCAAGCCCCATGACTGCTTCGCTAAGCTCGCTACTGCTCCATGAAGCAGCCCACCTCTCAACAGTCCTCAGCCCCCATGGTGAGCAGCAGGGGGGTGGGGGGGCTGGGAAGGGGGCACTGAGAAGTGCTCCATGCACTTCATGGTGACCAGTTGTCCCATCAGTCATGATGGCACCTGGCTCTTTATATATTAGGATAGTCATTAATGTTTTTTTTCTTTTTTTTTTCTGAACTACTTAAGAGCAAGCTGGTGATGCCCATCCACCTCTAAAGTCTCCTACGTTCTTTCCCCAGAAAGGGCACTTTCCTAAATAACCAGGACACATTCTTCAAAATAAAGAAATACAGCACTGCTGGGACCGGTTTGCTCAATGGATAGAGCGTCGGCTTGGGGACTGAAGGGCCCCGGGTTCGATTCCGGTCAAGGGCATGTACCTTGGTTGCGGGCATATCCCCAGTAGGGGGTGTGCAAGAGGCAGCTGATCGATGACTCTCTCTCATCGATGTTTTTTTTTTTTTTTTTTTTAAATCAATCTTTATTGTTCATATTATTACACAGGTTCCTCATTTCTTCCCCCCTCCACCAGGTTCCCACCTCACCTTCTGCCCCCTCATCCTCATCCATTGGTGCACAGATTATGTTCAGTCTCTTCCTCCCTCCCTTTCCCAGATAGTAAATCCCTTTTCAGATAGCAAATCTGTTACTTAGCATTTTCTCATATCAATAATACCTCCACATGCCCAATGATACACTTCACACAAAAGACATTTCCTAATAGGACAACCAGCCTCATCCAGGCCCCATCTCATCGATGTTTCTAACTATCTCTTCCTCTCTGTACAAAAATCAATAAAATATAAAAAAGAAATACAGCACCAATACATTTCCATCCAGTCTACAGATCCTGTGTGACTGTCCCAACAATGCCATCATTTCATTTCCTTTCTGGTCGAAGATCCAGCCCAGGATCACATTGTATTTCATTGTCAGATCTCTCCAGCCTCCTTCAGTTGGAATAGTTATCACTTCCCAGTATCCCCCCTATCTTGTATGACCTTCAAAGACTTTATGACCTTCGACCTGGGTCTGATGTGTCTGGCCATGCATTCTTGGCAGGAATTCCACAGGAATTTGAGATGGAATTAGAAGTGAGATTTCCCCTCTCCTCTTGAAGTCTTCCTTAATTGCCTCAGGCCCAAAACTCAGCAGAAAACATGGATCTGTACGCCAGAGCACGTTATGCTAAAGTGACAAAATTATGCTAGGCAGTATAAAGGACACACGTTTTTGAGATTAAAAGCTTACCTCATCTTTACATTTATTTCCTCTCCTATCTTCTCTCTCCCCAAACCATATAGTAGATGCTTGACCAGTCTGAGTTAAAACAGAAATAAAAGTACTCAGCGAAGATGGACGTGAGAGGGGCAATGTGGTGGGTTTAAGCAGTTAGTGAGATGATTGCAGCAACCCTTCCCACAGCTCTCTCTCAAGCATGGTCACACACAATCCCAGCTTCTGGAAGTCTGAGGACTCTAAACAGCCCCTCCTACTAGGGCAGTGGTCAGCAAGCCCTTAGTCAACGAAGCCAAATATCAACAGTAAGTACAACCACTGAAATTTCTTTTGAGAGCCAAAGTTTTTAAACTTAAATTATATAGGCAGGTACATTGTTATTAACTTAATTAGGGTACTCCTAAACTGGCCTTTGCTAAAATCTCAAGGGGCCAAAGAGTCGCCTGTGGCTTGTGAGCCGCCGTTTGCAGACCACTGTTCTAAGGTTTTATTTTATGAATTTCAGAGATGGCAGGTGATTGACTGTTTCACATTAAATTTCAAAGTCAACTGCTCTTGACAGATATTTCTGATTGATTTTTACCTTCTGGAGAATTCTTGCAACAGATCTTAGAAAAAAAAAAATCACTGTGTCAGAATTTAATGTGCTTAGCCCAGCGATTTCCAACCTTTTCCACTTCATGGCACACATAAACTAATTACTAAAATTCTGTGGCACATAAAAAAATATACCATGTTTTTTGTTGACCCGACAAAAAAAAAAAATAGGTATAATTTTGATTTATTCACACCAGACAGCTACCGTTGTGTGGGTTGTTGTCACTTTAAAAAAATATATATATTTTATTGATTTTTTTTTTACAGAGAGGAAGAGAGAAGGATAGAGAGTTAGAAACATCGATGAGAGAGAATCATTGATCAGCTGCCTCTTGCACACCCCCCCCCCCCCCCCCCAGGCAC